TTTTCAAACCGGCTCTCAAATCCATTTTTGATTCTTCTTTTGTAAAAGTAAGACCCAAGTATTTGAATAGAAACTTTACTTATTCTTGTAGATTTTGGATTTCCTGTTGTTGTTTTTGTTCTTGTGAACTAACATGTTCCAAGAAAATACAGATTAAAAGTACAAACAAAAGACGCTTCATCTTTTCAAGTTTCTTTAATGCTATACGCCCGAATCTCTCAGAAGTACAATCACAACTAACGTCGTATATTGTTAACAAGTTAATGTCTGATAAGGTTAACCGTAGTGTACCAAATATCAAATAAATCACAATCAACGAATCAGAGAAGTTAAATAAACAAATTGTCTTGCACTAATTTTTAATCTGAACTTTGAACACAGAGATTAACATATGTCCCAGTGAAATTTGCACAAATTCATAAGCATGTCATTTGAACAACAAACGCACAACATTTAATCCTTTTTATTGGTATAAAACCTTTATTCCTAGGGTATTAAATAGCACATTCATTTTACACTTAACGGGCCATTGTCTTCGATTTTTCGCAGTATGTGTCGAACCTTCAAAATCATGCGTTGGCAGACCGATTTGTCGATTTCATTCAACTTTCGCTTAATCCTACCAACTAATTGTTGCTCGTTTTTTGCTTCCCAGCCCTTCTCGTACACCTTACGTTTGAGATTCGACCAGAAGTCTTCGATTGGACGTGCCTGTGGAATGTTTGGTGGGCTGTCTTTCTTCGGTACAAATGGTATATTTTGCGAAGCGGGCCAATCCAATGTTTTTTTCGCATAATGACTGCTTGCAAGATCCGGCCAAAACATTATTTCGTCCCGGGCGTGGTAGTTTTCAATGAATCGCTTCAATTTTGGCAAGCATTGATCATTATAAATGTCAGAATTGATCGCTTTGGCTCCTTGTGGTCGAATAACTGGCATTGAAGCACCTTTCGATGAGATGGCCAACCATACCAACACCTTCGGCTCAAATTTCGACTTACCGGCATATCTTACATTGTCTGGTGTTGCTTCAATGTTGTCAGTGTAAAAGCCATCATTTCCACTCAATTCATGGTGCGAAAAAGTGAAGTATGATTCATCATCCAAAATGATGAATTTTGCGTTTGCAAAGTGTTTGTCACGAAGTGCACGGCAACATTTTGGTATTATTTCGAGTTGTCTCGGTGTATATTTTGGTGCTTGCTTGCGTTCACGATGAAAAACATTGTTTTTCTTTAAAATACGATGGACAGTTGATTTTGAAATACCAAATTTTCGTGATAATCGCCGCGTTGACTGTCCAACCTTGTTTTTGGCACTTGACAGCAGACTTTTCGTTGCACTGCCACTAAGTTTTGATTTGCAACCAGTTCTTTTTTTATTTTCCGGCTCCTTACCTTCACGGCAGTCCTTTAAAACACTATAAATGGTTCGGCGGGATATTGGTTTATTTTTAAAAACACGCAAAATTTCGTTTGTACTTAGTTCGCCAAAGCAGTTTGCGACAGACTTGCGCAAATCCAAATTATCCAATTTGTACGCCATCGCGAATGAATGTATTTCGTCGGATTGAGTTTGACAGTAGTTTGTTTTTTAATGCCGCGCAATAAACGCTGTAGTTTGTGCAAATTTCAGTGGGACATATGTTATTTCATATCTGTCCAATGTAAATTTCGAATGTAATTTAAACAATGTTACTTTTCCGCACACACCTAGTGTGAAAGGGGAAAGTATTGCAATGGGTCAAAATTTACGAAACCTCAAAAACATGTTTTCTGGACGTTTCTGAGGTCAGAGAACCCGAATCAGGCCGTTTTGAGCAATGTTGGTGTGGGTCTGTTCCACGTCGTACGTCGTACGTCGTACGTCGTACGTTGTCCGCCGTACGCAAAATTTGTCCATCGATTTTCTCACCCCCCAGAAAAGTTATTTAAAATCTGACTGTACAGGATGATTGGGGGTCCCGAGGAATAGAAATCATTAGATTTTGAGCGATTTTGGTTGATGGAAAAAAATTCCATGCCTGGAGTGATACCTATGAAAAAAAGAGTCCAATTTTCGTCCAAAAGTCATACTTTATGTAGACTTAAACACTCAAAAATATGTATTGGGGGGTTTTTTGGCACGAGAAAACCGAATCCGAGGTTAATTTTGAGATACAATCACTTTTTGATACAGTTTCCTTGAAAAAATCAGCAAAAAATTGCATTTTTGTATGGGAGCCATGCCTGTATGCTACCTTAATGACGTGAAACTTTGCATAGACTATTTTTTGCACAAAAAAATAACATTCTGAAAGTTTGATGAAATTTTAATCAAAATTAGGAGTACCTTCCATACAAAATTTTCAATTTTTGGTTCAAAAAAGAATATTTTGTATGGGAGGTACTCATCATTTTCGTTGAAATTTCTCCAAACTTTTCGAATGGTTTTTTTTGTGAAAAAAATAACCTGTGCAAAGTTTCACGTGCTTACGATACCATACAGGTATGATTCCCATACAAAAATCCATTTTGTTTTACTTTTGTATGAAAAGTGTTTCAAAAGTAATGTTTATGGCAAAATTAACGTCAGACATATTTTTTATAGTGTTTTATAGAAAATAGAATTCTTTCAAATGTCGTACAAATGGGTTCATCATGAAGTGTGAAAAATCTTTTCCGAGTACTTCTGCTATTAAATAAAAGAATATTTCGATGCCAAAGTTGAAACATATTTGTTGGTCTCGAACTTTACGCCGCTTGAAAGGCTTGAAAAATCGAACAAATATTATTTTGAAATAGCTTAATAGAATACGCATCTACCACCGTGCGGAAAAGTTCGTCTTACTCCTGTAAGACTCTTTATTTTTTGTTCTAACTTTGCTTATGGCTTTTTAATCTGAACAAAAATGCAATGACCATTGACCAATTGACCATAGTGTATTTTGTATGGGAATTTTCCATTTTGTAACAATTTTTTGAAATATCGCATAGAAAAAATATTTTTTTTTTTTCAAAAACTTCCGTAATCAAAACACTGTGTCAAAAGGGCAATGCTAGGAGATAGACACAAATGAGAAACATTGAAACTCTATTAATTTCTATAGATCTTTTTAATTTAACATAAATCACAGCTCACTGAGTTGTGGCTCTGTTATGTTATTATTATTATTATTATTATTTATTTCACCGCCAAATGCTGGCTGAACTTAGGTGTTTTAACAATTTTAGGATTTCACAATCAAAGCAATAAGTTAAATATGAGTAATTAATTTGAGTTTTGATTTAAATAAGATAGGTAGGTGAATAAATAAGTAAATAATGTCTTTATTTATATTTTTCACTACATATTCTATTGTTGAATGTATGTTATAAGTATAAAACACTTCTTTCGAAGTTCTCACTGTGACGCAATACTGTAAATCTGAAAATGTTCTGATATAAATTTTCAGTGACGCGTTCGTTCATATACATCCAAAATATTAATATTGCGTCGCCTCTGAAATCTTAACACAAACAAAAGACGTGTTTAATGTCATAATCAAAAATCATAAGCAAAAAATGTGCTGTTTTCATTGAATTCTATTATTTTCGTATTGTTTAGATGTTATCGTTCTCTTGAAATAAAAGAGGCGACGCAATATCAATATTTTGTATGTATATGAACGAACGCGTCACTGAAAATTTATATCAGAACATTTTCAGATTTACAGTATTGCGTCACAGTGAGAACTTCGAAAGAAGTGTTTTATACTTATATCAATAGTTTTTTTAATTGATGAAAAAATCCTAATGCTAATTGTGTTGAGACCAAAAAAAACCCAAATACCAATTTTCATAGCAATCGAATAAAAGCAATTTTTTCCGAAATATCATTCCAAAGGAATGGTTTCAAGCCGAAACATCTAAAAAAATTGAACTAATTTCTCAAAACGGTTGCCACCATCGAATTCCTCGGGTCCGAATTATGTAAAATCAGTTGTCAAAGTGGACCAACAAAGTAAAAATGTAGTACATTACAGAGGATAACTAAGAGATTAAAATATAGTTGGCCGCTTAAGTTCAAACTTTTTCCAATTTTCACCAAATAAAACAATGATGGTTTTTAAAAGAGTGCATATCGGTTCAAAATTGAGTGCGCTTTCGATCTACGAGGAAAAAAGCCAAGCTAGTCATACATTTTTTCGAGATAAATGACGATTAACTTCGATTTTCATCGATTTTTCCCCATTTTTCGAGATCTAGTCATTCTGATCTAACCTTTTCTGCTGAATATTTTTTTTTAAATCTCTTTATTGCTTCATCAAGATGACCTTAATAAGCTAAGAATGACGTGATTCTGTTAAAAAACACCCCGTATACCTGTGATCAAAAATGGCCAATAAATTGAAAAATTGCCGAAAAAAAAATTCAACTTCGGGGTGCAATTTTTTTTTTTTAAAACGAATTTTCCCAGATATGACACATGCGTCAAATCATCACATATTTTGTCCCTAACAAACTGGAGGAATAATTTGGAAATAATTTCTACTCCTAGAAATTAATTCCATTATTCTTTTCTATGAATTAATTTCAATATATTCTGGTAGAATTGGAATTCATTCCTGGCAAAAGTATTTCTAGAACTTCTGCCACTTAAAATTTCTAGAAATATACTATCTACATTTGTAATTTTAAAATTACATAAAATTACAAATGTAGATAGTATATTTCTAGAAATTTTAAGTGACAGAAGTTCTAGAAATAATTTCTACAGGAATAATTTCGCCAGGAATAAATTCTAAGTCTACCATAAACTATTTCTAACATTCAGGTTTTAATTCACCAGTAATAAATGTGGTGCGCCCAAATGATGATGTATTCGAATAAAAAATGTTCAATGCAAATGCAGAAAATTAAAAAAAAAAAAACAATTGTTTAACTTTAAATTCATTATGTATTTTTATTGCATTTAAATTATTATTCAATGAATAATATGATATTAATTTATTTCATATAATATAATTTACTATCTACAATTAAATTTATAAACACGTATATGACTTCAAAATCTTGATTTGTTTGCAACGGAATTCGAATTTGTATGTATTTCCGAAAAGATGTGTTTACGACAGTGTGCCTGGATATTTTATTTTTGTTTCTTTTTTTCCCTCATTTATAGTATTCAATTTGGCTGTATATGTATGGATGACTGTGTTAAATATTCACAGTCAACATTGAATTCATGCACGTGTTTTGCTCGTTTTTTTCTGTCACTTGCAATTTCTTGTTTCTTTTTTTTTGTTTTTTTAATTGGTAATAGTATTTTATTGTGATTTATCGAACTAAATTTAAAATCCAACTTAATACTTTTTTGGTTCGGCGCATCACACTGTGCAAAAGGCAAAGAAAATTAAAATTAAAATTATGACCACAGAAAACGAAATGTATCTCTCTGTCCTGAAGAGGTGGTCCCCTTCTATAATGTGCACATCCATCGATTATACACACTGCGAAGGCAACAAAACGATACAAATTTTGTAAAATTAAATTAAAAGAAAACAAAAAAAAAAAATATATCGAATTGATTTATTGCGGTGAACGATTCAGCGTCATTCTGCAAATAGATTAGATTGAATTCGAAAATCAAAATGAAATGAATGAAATGTATCATTCGACGAAATGTGAGTGACTATGTGTGAGGAGGGGGTCATATATTACCGCAGCATCTACTCGTTTAATAGCTATCATAAGGTCATTTTATTGTTGAATTCAATTTCTCCCTTCTGCACTCGCATTATTGTAACGTTCATAATATATATTTTCCTTTGTTTTTCTATTATTGCAAACATTTGAAATATTTTCATCTCTGATCTCAACATCTCTTATTAATATATCCTTATAATTCCGTTTATGTCATTCTTCGTGAATATTTTTATTTGTTTTCAGATATACATTTACATTTGATTTTTGTTTTCTCCAACTTTTCTTGACGACAAAAAAGAAATGGCTACTATAAAATATTTAACAAACGTGCTTGATTGACTGTGGTAACGATGCACTTAAAAAGAACTCTGATTTGTTTTTGTTTTTAAATCATTCTTCATTCATTCCATTACTGTCTGGCGTTTATTATGTGATTAAACATCGAAAAGAAATTCTAAAATCGAAAAAAATGTGATAAGGATATTTATATGTAAGTTTAAATTTTCCCTTACGAATCAACTGATTCAAGTTTTTGTTCAATAAAATTTTCGAAAAAAGTGTTTAGAAATGTTTTTTTTTTTTGTTTGTTTGTTTGTTAGATTCAAGACAGAAGATAAAATATTTGTTGTCTTATTGCTAAAAAAATAGACACATAGTCTGATGCATAACAATCAAAAGTCTTTTGAAGATTTTTTGTTTGTTTTGATTTCGCAACTTATTTGAAACTCATAATTGTTTAACTCGATATTTGTTTGTTGTTTGGAATAAGTTATAATAAATAGATAAATTCACTTTTACTTTGCTTGTTAATTCTTTTTTTCTTCAAACATCACTAAATTACTCACTTTCAGTGGAAATTCGCTTTTCTATCTCATCAACTGAAGTGGTGATTTCTCATTCCTGGCATTTTTTCCAGTAAATTCTCATTTCGTCTGTGTATATTTGTGTGTGTGTTTTTTTTTGCTTTGTTTTTGCATCATTTGGTAGATAAATTTATGAAAATTGTTTGTTTCTCAAAAGTTTCAATAAATAACAAATAAAAATTAATTGCATAACAAATAGAAATAAATACTCAATACAACAGCGTTTTTTCTCTCCCGTCCTCCAAAACTCTCTTCATAAATGTGAATTCCTAGTTTTTAGTTTAAAATTATAGGATATTTTTTTCTTGTAATATTGTCGCTATGATGATAATTAAGTCGATTGCATTTTTTATAGAGTGCTTTCTTCCATTCATACATATCACTTGAAATGTGTGTGTGTGTTTGTTTGTTTTCATGTTTAGGTTGTTTGTTGTATCGTTTACTCTCTCATATGTTTTTTTCTTCGTGTTGTCTTGTTTTTTTTTTGGTATGTGTTTCGTTATACATTGGTTTTTTTTTATATCGAATTTAGTATAAAGTTTGGACGATTGATTCACGATCAGGTAGTTGACGTACTTTCATTGAACCATCAGCACCACATGAAAACAGACGGCCTTGAGCATCAACTTGGATTTGGGTAACACCTTGACCAATATGTTTGAAGAAACTGCTCTTCGCATGCTCACCATGGAAATTGTACAATGACGTATGAACCGTTAGACCCCATACCTATTATTGAATTGAATTCATTTTTAATATAAACAAATGCATTTGTAGTATTGTGAATTTAAAATGAATAAAAGAAAAACCCACTCGAATATCACCGTCTGCCGAACCAGTAACAAAGTGCTCTTCATGCGGGTCGATGGCTAAGCATTTGATTGCACTTTCATGCGCTTGGAAACGATGACGAAGTGAACGTTGTCGCACATCAAATATGCATACATCACCCTTTTTACCAGCCGAAATCAACAATTGATGCTGTGGTGCATAAATCAAACTCGATGCACCTTGTTCATGACATGTGAACGCTAAAAATGATAGTAATACCGGGATTAATTTAAAATTGAGATAAAAGAAATCAATTTCGTAAAACTTACATGCAACCAAAGATTTCTTTTGGGGCAGTAATGTGTCCCATAAACCGACGTTCTTACTCTCTGAACTATGACCAGCTGTTGCCACTAAACTGCACGAGCCCAAAAATACGAAATCCGAGATTCCTTTATTGTGGCATTGGTAGGTCTGAAACGACAAATATCCATCAATTTTCAATGACACATTTTATTTAAAAGAAACTTTTTTCTTTTAAACACACAAAAAAAACTTATGGCTACTTACGAAGAACGATCGATTGCATTGTGATGCCAAACTGGCTTGCCATAAACTTAAATTGCCATCACCATCAGCGATGCCAAATTTATTGCCATGTTGTGAGAAACGGCATCGTGTTACTTTGGCAAATGTGCCTGGAAATATAAAATCGAATCGGTTATAAAATGTAGCGTTCTTTTTCGAAATTATAAATAAAAAAAAATAACAAATAAAATCAATTTATTCAAAAATCACAGCTCACCTGGTGGTCGCGGTGTGCAAACAACTTGTTGATGTCCCCATTCCCACATTTGAACCGAACCATCTTGGCCACCCGTTAAGTACAATGGCATCAATGGATGCGCGCACATTCGCTTTATATTGTCGACTTTGTGTTTCAATACCTTTGGAGAAAAATTAACGATTAATTCAAAAATATAATACACGAAAGCAAGCATACGATCAAGAAAATAAAGAGAAAAAAAAACATCGGCTACATTTATTGAAACAAATCAACAAATTAATTGGAAATGTATTTTAAAAGGGATGGGGTTTCAACATTATTGAAACTAATTTATGCATGTCAGTAAAAAAGGGGGAACGAAGGAGAAATAAATTGAATTATACGAGTATTCTAAAGGAGCTGAAAATAAAACGGTACATATATAAAGATGCACTTATTCATGAGAGTATAGATGTTGGCAACAATGACAAAAGTTCCTATTTGGATGCAATTCAAAAATCAATGAAAAAAAAGACAAATGTCACTTCAAAACAACAACGAAAATGGATCACGATGAATTTTGTATAAAATAATGAATCGGAAATAACCAAAGACATGCCTTATTGAGAGATAAAAGTCAGCACTGCAGTGGATATATTTGAATGAATTATGTAACTTGAAACTGTTAAAAGCTAACGGCGATATAAAAAAAGAATGAAAAGATTTTTTAAAAAAAGGAACCAAAGCTATTTTCGCCAATACAAGAAATAAAACATCAATTTAAACTGCTCCTGATAATCACTGAAAAGTTAAAAAAAAAAACACGGAAACCATATCCAAAAACATAAAAAAAACAATCAAAACATTCAAACAAGTTTGGAAAACAGAAAAAAAACAAACGAAATGTACCTTTTTGGGTTCATTAACATTGATTAAATTACCAGCGTTCTACAAAAAAAGTAAAATAAATTGAATAAAAAAACAAAATTGCAATCATAAGAAATTCGAAAATAAAACTCGAACTTGATGCTGAAAAGTGTACACGCAATACATTTTTTTACAAAAAAGAACTAGAGATCTACAAACATTTAATTGATGATGTACAAGCATTTAATTAACCGTACATAAAACGAACAGTGATCAATTCTATTGTATTCGTTTGTGGATTGGAAACATCAACGCTCAAAGTATCTCACTAGTGGTGTATTCATTTTTGAAGTGATTAACATTGACATTTACGACGACTTGCAATTGAGATTGTGCAAAGTTTCCAAAACAAATACAAAGGAATATATTCCATTTACAGATGTGCGTTCCAGCAATATTTATTTATTTATTTCAAAAATGTGTCAATAAAATATCAAACTGAAAATCTTTTTAAATATTTCGTCATAAATTTTTGAGAGAATTTTTGTTTTCCGTTAATTGGATGTTTTTCTCTGTCTGGGGTTTTTTGAGGCTTTTTCTGTTAAATTTGATAAGATGTTGACAAAATTGACAAATAAATACGAGCACACACCTGTAATGCTATTTACAAAATGTTACATTTGAGACGACAAAATCGAATCTCTTTCGGGAAATTATAAGCGGGCCGTTTTTTAGGCATAAAATATTTTGAAAATATTGCTGTGTACATAAAATTCTAAACTACATTGTGAAAAAAACAAAAAGATGGAGGCTGGCTAAGTTTGCTACAAAATGTGTCATTCTAAATGGTACATCAATCTTTCGACACGTAATTATTTCCGAAAAGTAGAATCAAAAATAAGGCAAAACATAATTGAAAAATAATGAGAGAAAACTATTTTATACATAAAACAAACAAACATACAAACAAAAAATGTGCTGTTCAGAATGTGAGATAACATAAAGATGACAAACATTGAAAAGAATATAAAATCAAATCGATCAAATGGATGATGTTCAAGTGTGAAAAGCAACCGAAAGAAGAACTACAAATTACTATATTCTTCGAAATCATTCATTTTAAAGCGATCGATTGTCAAGAGACGAAATTGAGCTCCGCAAAGTCTACGACAAAAATTTCATCAACAACTACGGCATTACAATATATGGCACTACACTATTCATCGTTGTTACAAATTCCGTTTTACAAAAAAGAAAAAACAAACAATTCAACACAAAATTAAACCGAAAAAAATATACATTTTCGACGTATTTTATCGGTATGATTGAAATACAAATGCCGATGAAATGGAAGAAAAAAAGAAATTTCAGAAAAAATAAAAAAGAAAACGATTATAGTAAAGAGATAGAAATGGAATTTGCAATCATTGGATTGGTGGTTGATGTTGTAAATAATGTTTGTTATGTACCGGTTTGAGTAAGTGCTTAGAATATTCAATGACCAGTTTACAAAAGCGTGGATCATGACTTCCCGGAAATGTGGCTCCTTTAATCTGATTTTCGTAATGCGCGAGATCGAGTGGTGATATTGATTTGAAATTGGGTTTATTTTTTGGGTTTTGAAGTTAGTTCAATGCAAAATGAGACGACATCGACAAAAAAGATGTGAGTGTAACACACAGAGAGAAGAAAATGATATTTTGTTAGTTTTAAATAAAAAATCATTTGATGGCAATTTTTTGTCACCAAAATAAACCTCTCCTACTTGTTTTTTTTTTTTTAATTAAATGAAATATAGTGTTTGTGAGTGTGATAAATGCAATTGTCTGAATAGGGATTGATTTAATAACAACGAAATTATTAAATGTTTGATATGAAAAACTGAAAGAGAAAGCACAATATGAAAAAAAAAAAGAAAAAAAAATCAAAAAATATAATTGAAAACATTAAAATACATTCGACCTGAGGAAATGTTTCCAGTTTGGTCAGATTTGGAGTGTTTCATAAGACTGGGATTGAAAAACAAAAAAATTGATGAATTTTGAACTTTCGTTTGAGGGAATATTTCAGAAGGAAGAGAATAATAGCGAATTTTTTTTATACAATTTGATGTTGGAAAATGAGATCAATTCATTTTTCGGTCTTTTATACACATCTGAATAATATAGTTTTAGTCAAGATTGACAAATACACAAAAAAGAAACGATTAAAAGTGTGCATTAGTTTGTTTTTCGTGTATTTGAGTGCTAAATATAAATTGTTGTCAAAAAATTCAATATTGCCATGAAAAAAAAACAAAGAAGCCATAAGAAAACCATAGACTTATTGCCTAAAACGATAAAAAATAAAATTCACATATAGTTGGCGCTGCATTCTATGCAAACTTGTTTTCCGTTGAAACGGACTAAGTGGAAAGTATACGCTTATTACATAGAATGTAGCGCCAACTATACGTGAATTTTATTTTTTTATCATTTTAGGCAGTAATCTTATCGCTTCTTTTTTAAACAAAAATTTCGAACCAAAAAAAATTCTAAAATTAAAAGCCAAACAAAAGCAATAAAGTTAGTGTTAGTTTGTTATCGTGTGTAATGTGTTTGTGTATCTTGTGTTTTAGTGATATTTAATGTAAGCCAATTATTAAATTAGTTGCGTGTATTGTTGTTGTTACAAAACGGTAAATGGTTATTAAATGAGGTTGGTTTGGTGACAAAATCACTTACCACTGAGGCTCCGCGACCAGACTGTGGAGCCATTGTCGATGTCGGACTTGATGGCATGCCATAATTTGTGGCAGCATGTTGTGCTTGATTTAGAATACTCCTAAAGAGATGGAGACGTTTGTTTAGTAGAATTTAAAAAAACTGTTTTCATTTTAGATGCACGTACTTATCGGAAGCGGCTTGAATAACCAGGAAATTGCTCGAGGGAATTAAATCGGAGTCTTTGTTCAAATTTAAAATATCTAATTCACATTCGTCTTCCATCCAATTGGGCGATTCGAGTAACAAAGATATATCCATTTCTTGGACTTCTCTGGGTGTTGACAATGAAATAAGTCCAGGATTAACATTGTTCAAACAGAATGCCGATATTGATTCTTGATCTTTGTGAATTATGCGAACGGGCTCGGAAACGGGAACATTACGATCGTTGTCAGCATTTACATCTGATATTTGGTGATAGAGTAAAATTTAGTTTCTAATAAAAAAAAACACAACAACTACAAATGATTGTGGCGCTTAAAACTTACAACTGCTCGAAGTTCCGTCATTGTTAACCGATGGAGCAACAGATGCATTTTCACCGGCTGCTGATGTTGTACGTTTTTTACCAAAGACGGCTCGAATGAAAATATCTTGAACGGGTTCTTGTCGCACCAGATAATGCCATAGTCGGCGAGCCGGTGCGGATGATGCCTGAATCGGACTGAATGGTGTATTATGTTTTTCCAATAGAGATCGATATTTGTGAATGGCCGGTCCCTTGACATCAGACTCAATGAAACAACCGGGAATGAAATCAATCGGCGCTGGGCCACGCATTGCCAAATCATCTTTGAGAATTTCAATCCATGAATTCAATCTTCGTAAAACACCATGTGTCAATGGACTAGCGACCGGTAATTCTGCAAATCAAAACCATTAAAAAAAAATGGTTAAAATGAACTAAAAAATTGAATTTTCAAATGATATTTACCTTGCATTTCAATGCCAGCAACGGCAATCAAATCTTGCAATTGATTTTGTGCAATCCGTAAAATGGCCGTACGCATAATAAGCCATGAATATGAGTATGGATTCGAGTGTTCGGTATTTTCACGACGATGTTTTTTCATGGCAGCTGATGCTTGACTAGCTTTCGGATCATTATTCAATGGATCGGCGAATACATCATCATCGTCGTCTTCATCAACGTCAGAGCTTATTGAATCGGCCGAATCGTATTCATCATCATCGATTTCTGTGGGATAACAATTTATTTTTCATTAATTTCCATTTAATTCAAATTTAAAAACAAATCTGTCTGTTTTTCACCTCTTATTAATGGTTTTGCCATAAAGTATGACACCATTGACATATCTGGTGGCACAAATTGTTCTCTGTACGTTGGTTTATCTTCTTTCATATTTGGTGATCCTTGTGAACCACCAAAATGTCCAAGCAATTTCATATTCAGTTTAACTCTTTGCTTGGTGATTGATGTGACTGCACCCCAAACGCCACTATCAGTATTCGTTGCTTCGCCATTTTCGATAATTGTGTCTTGTGATGTTTGTGATATTTCTTGTATTGTTGCATGTGCTCTTGAGCTGGCTTTACGCAATAGTTTTTTTACGCCACCGCCAAAGAGGCTACCCCATGATTGGTTTGTGAATTTTTGGCCAGCCAAACGATACAAAATGTGACAATCACATGTTGACAAACCGTATACTAGCAGTGACATAAATGTTGCCATAAATGCTTCACAAAGTAATACATTCAAACGTGGCGTATCTTCATCTTTTTCCTGGGCAAGTAATGCTCGTAAATTCGTAACACCTGGCCATTTTGATGGCAATGTGCTCACCGCAATCGGTTCATCCGACGAGTACTTTCGACGACGTCGGCTACCGGCAGCATTTGCCATTAGATGCGTACTTTGACAGCTGGCATTTAGGCGGGCTAGTGTTTCCATGCCAGGACTGTGGCAACCATTTGTTTCAGCATTTTGTTTTACAATAAATGTGTCCGAATCACATAACGATTGATAAATGCAAGCGGATAGAGCGACGGCCAAATCACGCAAAATAAATATTTCGGAAGCAGTTGATGTTTGCAGTCCAACTGGTGGCGATCTAAGAGCAACCATTGTTTGTAACATATCATGAGTTTGAGCCTGGAAAAAAACAACACATTTTAAATTGAGAATACGATCGCAATAGTCGTTAAAAGTGCATTTTACCTCTAGATAACGTATTGGATCAGCGATGACAGTTCGATTACCAGCTACACAAGCGCTGAGTAGTGGCAATGTGGTTGGGAAGGGAAGTGGACTAAGTAGTTGTTGTTGCGTCTTTTCTTGTTGCAATTCTTGTAACAGCAACACAAGCTCCATCCGAACAGATGACAATCCACCTCCACTAGCTCCATGCAACGAACAATAACTGAGCAATGTTCTCAGCAATGTTTCATTTGCTGCAAATTTAAAACAAAACAAAAAATTATTGGACATTCATTCATACTGCTTTTTTCTTCAATTTTTTTGGTTTTTTTTTATTTATTTACCTTTAAGCCATCGTTTTCTTCTTGCCGCTCTTTGCACTTTCGCTTCAAAGTCTTGTTTTTCTGCGATCAAAATTTCATGTAATGTGGGCCGTTCACCATATTGTCTGGCACCAGGTATTGGTGTTTCACGATCATTTGTTTCGGTTTGATTACCTTCCTCGTTTGCTACCGTTTCTGATTCGCTGCTGCTGTAATTGCACAATTGTTTGAGCGCTTCAACCTCTTTCTCGAGCCAAACATACAATTGATATCTCAATTGGCCGCCATCAACTTCGAATCCAGTGGCCAATGTTGATAGCTCTTCCATGAGAATTTTCAAGCATGCAACGAATTTCAATTGTTGTGCCATTATATCAAGCATTTCAGTGCGTTCGCCGTTGCTTTCTTGTGAATTCACTTGTATCGATGGACGATTACTGCTTTCTTCGTCTTCTTTTTTCTTATCAACGCCCATACTAAGACCGGTATCATTTTCGTCCGAATTAGTATCATCACCATCTTCCTCCCATTCAATTTTAAATTCATCATCGTTGGACTTTGTAACCGGTGCACCCCAATCCAAAGCATCTGCCGTATCCAATCCATTGCTTGTTGCGGCCGGTGCTCCCCAGTCAAAAGTGTCTGTTTTTTGTGGTTCAATTTTATTCTTTTGATCGCTGAAAATGCCCGTATCAATCAATTCGGCATGGTTTTCATCCGTCGGTGTATTAACTTGACTCGGTTCTTCCGGTTCAATGACTTTAGACGGTAATTTGCTTAATACTTCGAGTGCTAAAGCCGGACAACCAGCCTTGAAATGACCATGAGCAGTTGTGAAATATAGTTGCCGTTCCAATGGTGTGATTGAATCTTCGATTTGAATTTGCCGATCGCCCCAGATTTTCGTTGGTGCTTGTGTATTTTCGCCGCCACTATAGCTGAAACCAGACAATACCACTTGTGCTTTCTTCTTTTCTTGTGCGCTCGATGCAATGTATTGTCGTATCAAAAGTGGATGCGTTCGAAGATAAATATAGAAATTAAATACATTCGGATTGGTTGATTGATTCGAATCGGAGCGTAATAATGGATCGTCGTCCAAATGGGCTGTATGATTCAAACCAACGTTATTCAATAAAAGTGTATTTAAGCTGCCAGAATAGTCTTTGAGTAGCCAAAGTGCCATCGATCGTAAAAATGGATCCGGATGGGCACGACTGATGTCTCGATTGTTTCCGTCGCTGTCACAACCTAAAACTTCTTCGTATAATAGTTTCTTGTAGCTTGGCGGTGTTGAATCATGTTCGCCTTCATACAATCGTGCAATGACCAGTGCCAATTGTAAATCTTCCAATTTTGTTAGGCACACTTCAATGGCATCGTTCAATGAATTGGCCAATAAAAAGAATGCGACCGCATGTTCAAAACGTTGTTTGCCCAACAATGCAAATGCATTTTTCAGTGCAGCCTTTCGCCACCGATCCTCGCTGAAATTATTCGCAAAGAATTGTGTCATCTTTTCATCACGTTGTGATCGATACAATCCCCAGACCAGTGATTTTTTCTTCATTGCAATGTAATAGAGGGCTGCATCCATTGGATCTTGTTTTGCTTGATAGCTAGATCTGGCCAATTTTTCAATGCATCGTCGTAGCAATGAATTATTTCTCAACCACCAACCGACGCCAAGCTCTTTCAATTGTGACCATCTCAATTGATCTTTTGCATACGATGGAATCAATTGAAGAATTTCTTCTTCACTCTCCGAATGGAATGCCCAGACAATGTTCGACGAAACGACACCTTGCTTCTGGAATTGTGTACGTTGTGCAATTGGTAGACATCGCAATAAATATGTATAGTGTTTCATTGCAAGTAAAAATCGAAGACCACAATCGTCAAGCGATTCGGTGCTGACATTTTCCGGAATACCGGTTAAATTCTCCTTTGATATTGCCGTTTTGGCAGCATCGTTAATAAATCGTTCGGCAAAGTCGGTGTTACAGGTGGCCACAGTGTCGGCCAATGCCAATAAATGCATTTGATCGAGCGATGACAATCCCGGCAAATGTGTGTGCGTTAACAAACGTGATATTAGCTGACCTTGACGCGGTCCAAAATGCGATAAACTTTGACGTTCACTTGGCAACGATGGACGACGCGCATCGTATCTCTGCTGACGATCACCATCATCTTCTAGCAAATCATCCAGATTGTCTTCATCCAAATTTGAATCGAACAAATCGTTGTAATCCTGAGAAGAAGAAGAATTCGTAATAATTAGTCATACTCAAGAGAATCTTCTAGATATAGAATAATCAAACCTTTTTCTCTCCCTCATTTTTATTCGATTGTGCCAGTTCTTTGTCAGCAGCCAATAGTGTCCACAATGGCAACGGTGGAATTGACGTAATTTCAGCATAGTCTAGAGTTAACTCCTCAGGAAGCTGCTTGGTACATTTAAATTTATTTGCGGATGAGAACAAATGAAAATGAAATTTAATTTTCGGTTACATTCCAAATCGTTTACGTATGTTTTCTTTTTTAGTATTAGAAAAAATGATTTATCGAAAATTATCAATCAATATTATTTTCTTTTGTTTTTCTTTGTTAATATTAAATACATTTAATTTCCGAAAATGCCAATTTTGAAGCATATAAATATCTCTGTATAAAAAAAAATATTATACATTGACAGCACATAATTTTTGTATGTTTGGCTGCGATTGATTTCATTGTGTATGAAATAAATGATTGACTGTTTGATTATTGATCGTTATTGATTGATTTTATATTAACAAGTCAACAATTCTACTAAATACAGATCATGCTTTCCACTTTGGTTTTTATCTATTGAATTTAACGATAAAGTTCATGTATTACATAGCATTTGTGTACATAGTCCGGTTTTTGTTTTTGTGTATACACAAGTGCTGTACTTTTTGTAACCATATGTATATTTTTTATTAATTTGAGGGGAAAAATTAGATCAATGTTATTATTTGGGTTTAACATTAAACGAACGAAAGGAACGATTTCTACGGCATGCTTCAAGTATTACAACTACTCGCAATCAATTCGATATGAAGAAGCTACTAATGTGTTAAAACAATGATCAAAATAATTGGATTGAATTGTACATACGAAATCAATGATCAAAATAGTTTGAAATCCTTAAAAAAAAATCAAAATTTCGAAAGTCTGGCTCAGATTAAATCAACATGGAACAGAATATAAAGAAATCAAAATGGACAGTCTCAAAATCCTACTATAATAACGAAGCACTACTTCAATGAGGCACTAACGAAAGAATTTACACAAATCATAGATATATGTTCAAAGAAAATGTTATTTTTCGCTTCTTTTGTTTTGCGAATAAATTATCGAATGACATTTTCTTCGAACATTTATTTCGATTGTTGACACGTCGCAACATCACAGATAGACAATAACAAGAAGAAAGAAAAAACTTTTCATTCATATAAATAAATTTGATGGAGAGAAGACAAATGCAACGGAAATTAAATATATAAAATTAAATACATATTTTGAAAAAGTAAGAATAAAAATGAAAACAAAAACAAAATAAGGAAAAAAAAGAAACAAAAAAAAAATCATGTTCACACCTGTGTTGTAGATCCTCTTTGTTCTAAAGGACTTGCGGTGCCAGCCACGTAACTCACAGATAATGTGCGAGATCTCGACCAACCTCGCTGCAAATCAAATTAATTCATTCAAAATATTGCTAAATTATGGTATCAATTCAAAATTGTTGTTTTTTCGCCTTTTGTTTTCTTTGTAAATTTTGTGATAGAAAAAAGTGCACAAAATGTCTAACAATCTATGTTTCATGCCACACGAATTAAAATAAAATATTAATGCACTTGAGTTTCGTCTAGTGCATCATTTCTCTAAAAACATATCTTTTTTTAACATTCTTTTGGTTTTCGCATTATCGTTTAGCAATATTTTAAACTAAATCAACTTTTCCTTAATCATCTCGATCGGTGAAATAAAAATGTTCAATTTTGGTATATCAAATTTGGTTTGACGCTAAAATAAGTGTATTGGGCAAAATAATAAATAAGAATTTAAGCTATACAAAATGAATGTTTTAAACGCACTGAATGCGGGTCATATATTGCATACATTAAAGGTTGATGTTTTGATATCTTTTTTTGCTTGTCTGAAATAGTGATAGATTTAGGTAGATAGAGATATTTAGTGTAGGATATTTTGGGTGGTGTGGTTCAATGTGATTTGTGACAGTGTTAACACTTACTAAATAGGGAAGAGTTAACACAGAATAGTAATTTTTAGCAATACAGCAAATTAACAAGATTAAAACATCAGAGTTATCAATATGCGAAAGTTTACCGCCTTTGTGTTTGTAGTTTTCTTTTGATTTTAGTATTGAATAATACACAGAGAGTGATGAGACGATCTGACGAAAAACCAATTAATCTCTTGATGTTTTTAAATTAATTAATGTTTTGTTTGTTTGTGAACAAAAAACAACAACAACATTTAAACGATGTGGTAACGCTTTTTATGAAATTTAACTGAATTTGACATATGGAAAGAATGGCATGACTTTGGATTGTATATTTTAGTTTTTGGTTTTTCTCTGTTTGGTTTTGCTGCGAGAAAGAACACTTTTTGACGTCGGTATCAATTTTGGTTCCATTTAAAATGTTTATTTTTATGAAAAATACCTGATGATTTGTATTTTCTTCATCTCCGCCAGAAATTCCGTTCGATCGATTAATGTATGTTCCACTGATGCATCGAACCAAATGCGCTAATATTGCTTTAACCCATCGAATTTTGCCGCAATTAAGTAATTCCATCAATTGTTTTGGATGGTATTGTGGTAAAACGGGGCATGCAATTCGTGATGCTTCAAACAAACCAAAATCCGGCATATAATCATGAATACGACCTTGATCGATGTTATTCAGTTGATTGGTGCTTATCGCTGGGCCCAATTTTCGTTTCTTTTCATTTGTTATCATTTGTAAATTCATCGAACCATGGGCACGATTCAAATGTGTTATTGATGCGGCCGATGCCATGCGACGTTGTGTATTCTCATTGGCCATTGTTCGTAAATCTTCATCACGTAAATTTCTTGTATCTTGCATATCTTCGATGTCAATATTGTTGGTGTTTTTGTGCGGTTTCCATTGTGAATAGACGTGCATCTCCGAATCCATTCCAACGACAAGAATTCCATCGCGAACCCAAGACATTTGCATCGGTAATGGTGGTAAACCATCGGCCGTATGCAGTTCAATTTGACGTAATTTCATCCAACGAATTTCATCGTTGAAATGTGGCTGTGCCAACGAACTGGCCTTTCGCAACAGTGGCCGATTTGATGATTGTGATTCTTTCATCGCTTTTATATTTGCTTGTGCCAAATCACTAGATACTGATGTGTATAAGAGAATTTTACTACCAACAGCTACGGTTAATATATGCGAACCATCCTCTTTCGACACCCAATCCAATTGAACCAAATGCTTTTGCGTTAACGGGCATGTATTGCCATTTTCGATGATACTTTTTCGCAATGATTGTAATGTGCTAAAACTTGGAACGGCTAACAGTGTGCTCGGTTTTGGTAAACCATCCGGTGTTATTTCACCATTTCGCGGTGAACGTGATTCATCATGTGTCAAATTTTGAATGACTTGTGTTAGTTTTTGCTTTTTCTGTAACATACTTCGATCGTGTAAATAGCTCAGATCCAAATGTGGATCTAAATTAATGCGAGGCAAATGCACATTTTTCAAATGAATTGTATCTTCAAGTATCCATTCGCTGCCACCGGTACTTTCGCACTCATAAATTGCAACGCATAAATTAACATATCTTGAATCCGGGTCACCTTTGTGTGGTCGCGTAAATGATTTTCCATATTTATAGGCGCATGCAATTCGTCCCGAATACGCAGCACTAATATGCAACGGTTGACCAGGTACTTCAATCGTTGATTCGCGATCTCGACTTAACATATCCCATTCACACCATTCGTACTTCAAACTATCCTGTGTTGCAAATGGATTGTCAGCATCATTGGTGGCACCATCATCATTTTTAATTATTTTACAACGCCAAAAACGTGACGTTGAATCGGAGCATGCCGTTACAATGATGTACGGTGCAAAACAAGCAGGATAAATGGATGATGAACTTAAATGACCGGCTGCTGGGGCAGCATGTACAACATCAACACCTTCGGGCAATGGTAACTCTTGTGTGCATACTTTTGTCGTTTTAATACTAACATGCGGAGCTTCAGTGGCATTGAATACTTTTCCATCGGTATTATTTAAATTATAACCGGCAAGTGATTGTCGACGTCCAGTTGGATCCGGTTCATCTAAATCCTGAATCAAATTTCCATCAGGTACGTACATGTTACTTTCGGTTAGTTCATTCGTTTCTGGTTGTGATGCAATCACAATGCGCCACATATGAATGGTGCTACCATTCGTTGTACGTTCGATTAAAACAATGTAAAATGGTTCTTCGAACACTGAATTCTGTTGTAGATCAACAATTGCACTCATTTGATTTTCCATCAGGCCCAAATCAAAGTTCTCGGCCACCGGAATTGTTCGCACTTCATTTCGTTCGCCGGTAATTAATTGTTCTTGGAAAACATGTAAGAATTGGGTATTTTGCCAATCGTGCGTAGCATCATCAATGCCATCCAATTGAATTATGCAACCTGGACGGGCTGTCGATTGTTGTGAAACAATTTTAATTTTTGTATGCCACGGCTGTTGTGGAACAGCATTATCGGATGAACCGTCGGATGAAAGAGATACCATGGAATCCATCATACGTGTTTTTCGCTCACTACTAGATACTTCGGCGAGTAGAGTGCGTGCATCGATTACAGCCTGATAAACACGTAAACATTCACCGTCACTAGCAACAAAACATGCTGACGGTGAATTACTCAAACTGCCCAATGTTGTGCTTGGCAACAATGTTGGTATCCATGCCACATTGCTGAACGCAGATATTTCAAGTGAATTGATTCGTGCCAATTCTTCAACTCCACCCGATTGGGCAAGCGGTCCAACCGAATCAACACGCCACAAAATCAATTCGGAACAAAATCCGGATGGAACACAAACGTCTTTTCCTTTATTTGGTGTAAACAAATTTGCACTGTACGGCCCATTTGGATCGGATGGTGTATCTGGAATGTTGTGATGAGAGGTTGTTAACAACAATGGTAACACCGGATGACACGTAATGTCGTTAACACGAAAACGATGACCCGATGCACGTGATACGTGTCCAATGCTTAAAACCTTTACGAATTTATTGAATAGAAAACAAACAATTAATTGTACATAATTCCATCAAAATGAAAATGCAAATTTAAAAAAAAGATTCACTAAATCCACTGACCTGAGTAAATTTCGATTTGTCAGCAAAGGTAAGTTGCCACAAATTCAATGTTCCGTTTGCATGTTTCGTTACCATTGATATAGTTGGTGATGGTGGTGCTGTCAATATATCGGGCGGTTGTTCTTCTTCTGTTCCATCGTTGGCACCATTTTGATGTTGATTAATGGTTTTCGTTACACTTTTTCTGCCTTCATCTTGTTGTGCTTGTTCTTCCGATTCCTCTTGTACACTTGGCAACGGTGTTGTTGGATCGCCGCCATTATCTGTATTCGATGCGGCCTGACTAACCACGGAGCTGGGTACACCTTTTACCATTTCTCGAAAATGTAATAAATGGCCGCCGGTATTGTACAGATTGACTGAAGTGGACATTGACATTGCATCGCCAAGTGGAAAACCAGATGGAATTCGGGTTGAAAATGAAATTTGCGCTTGTCTAAATGCACCCGGATGATATTCATCGAGCCATTCAACCACCCAAATCAAATAGCTTCCATCGATTGGATGAATGGAAAACAATAGATCGGGACTGTGATGCCAATCACGTAGAAGACATTCGATTTTCATATCAAGTGAATCGGTTACAGGAACATTTGCCGCACCATGATCGGTGGCCAGCGAATTCAATGATGTCGTATTTGATAACGAATGATGACTATGAAGACCGACACCGCCCGATTTCGCCGAATGCCCCAAATGATCGTCACTATTACTTTCATCGTGCGAAAATGATTTTTGACTTTTGCCAAATCGTCTCTTCGGCTCTTCGGTGGTCAAGTGATTATGCGATGGATTGTTATCGTCGTGTCCGCCACCATCATGACCATCTGAATTATGTTCGCTAGTGCCGCTCGATATATTATTCATTTGCTCTTTTTCAATGACCTTTCGTGTCAGTTCCTGTAAAATGGACTCAGCCTGCATCGTAAAATGCATCTCTTTGTTATTCAGCCAATGCAAAATAAAATTTGGTTGATTTGTTGGATCATTCGATTGCATCGATGGTACGAGAGGTATATCGGTTTCAGCATTTATTGATGCGGCCAAATGGAAATGCAAACCGGGCGTCACGCCCGTTCCATGGTAACCATACGAATGAAAATCATGAACACTGTATGTCGATGGTAACGATGGTATTGGCATCGATTGTCCAAAATTTCCACTTGCCAATGTTGAACCATATACAGAACCGACGGTTTGACCAATGTGATGGCTATTACCATTATTATGTTTTGCATGACGTCTGATGTGGAAACACGTTTTCATATGCTTTAATCGTTGCATAAATCGATGTTTATGTCGATGTGTTCGAAATTTGGGGTTTTGCGTGGCCAACGGATCAAATTGATTCATATTCACTAAACCATCATCGGGTAAAACGGTTTCAATCCAAATTCGGCAAATGTTATCTAAACACGATGTGACAAGCATATTTGATACAGAACCTTTTGGCATGTATTTACTGGTTTTGCGCCACGACAAATGTGTCACAGCCCGTGGATGTGCAATGTACACGAATCCATAGTTCAATTCCAAATGGCCGGTTGATGTCATCGAACCAAAGTGCGCTTGATCCACATTTTTATTGGGAAAAAGTACTGTAAAATGCAAAGATTCCAAACGAACGTTAATTAATTAATTGATTTTGATCAATTTTTTTTCAATTTCTTAATTCTCGTTGGTGGTTTCCTTACCATTTTTGTTCTCGTACCAAATCTTCACTAGACGATCACTTTTACCGGATGTTGCAAATAGTGTGCCATCTGGACTGAATGACATATGATGTACCGGCGTTGCCGTATGGCACTTCCATACGCATTCCCATTCGGGTTCCTCTTCATTGTTTGGTGTCTTTGGATCACCACGATCACTACCACCGCCCCCTATTTCAAATGTGACAGCTAAAAATTGAATGCCGAAATAATATGTGTGTGTGATCATTCATGCTCGTGTGCGTCAGTGGTTTTAAATTGATTTAATTTAATGCATGATACTTACGTGCTGGATCCTCTTCTTTGTTTGTGATTCGTTCATGCCACAATTGAATGGTGACACCACCCGTCAACAATCGCGTACCTTCTAGATTCCATGACAACGAACTGATGTGAGAATCGGCCTGCAGTGATCCAGTTTGAACCCATCTAAAATATAAATTATCATTTAAAATTGATTGCATTGTGTCTGCAAGCGGATCGAAACTACGTTATTTACCGATATTCTAATCCATGTGATGGTGGACATTGACTATGAATCAATGGTGTTGGCTCGAAAATACACACTTTGTCCTCATAGGCGGCTGCAATTTTTCCGGTATCGGTGCTACAGTCTAGCGCTGATATTCGAATATAATTGTGAGTTGCACCCGGGATGATTTGAACACGCTCGAATGTACTCGCTAGGATTACAATGTTGCAGCCGGCTGCATATGCCTATGAAAAAAAAACAATTGAAAATCAAACAAAAATATAAAATCAATCAGCTTTAATTTATTGACTGCAAAAATATTGATGAATAAAATCAATAAATAATAATTAGAAAAATGATGAACATCAAACTTCATTGAAAATGTATACACTATAGTACACATGTCGAGACGCAAAGTAAACAAAAGTTTTGTAAATATGCTCAGTTCAGCAATTTTAATTTCTTTCACATCGCATATGTGTTTACACTGATGATATTTATATATCGCATCGTGTATTTTTTGTAATTTTCTCTCTTTCTCTTTCGTCCGCTCAATCGAATGCAGTTTGATTAAGTTTTATTTACATTTGATGAGCAAATCATGAGATGTTGTGCCGTCATTCCAAAAGAAGAAGAAAATGTTAATTTGATGTCATATTTAATAAGGAAGCATGTGACCCATTGTATGAATATCTACTGTATTTGTCGATATCTTGTGACCGGCGTCGGCATTCTGCCGGCTCATGAATTAGCATAGATGAAAATTGCCAAATTGAAATGTTGATTGTTAATCGTCTCCTTAGAGTTATTTGTCCATATTCACATCGTTTGGCGTAACGCCCACAGAGCGCTTAGCGTACACAAACAAATTTATAAATACGCTTTGGAATGTTTACATAGTTCTACTATGAAGAAAAAACCACTAAATAAAATGCAGTAAAACGGCTATGGGCAGCGGGTACAAAAACTATATATTTTTTTGCTCTCGCTCATTGACATTACACTAACGAGTATGGCAAAACTAATGAACAAATTGTGGCAATAAAAACATTACGGAATGTGAGACATCGTTCACGGAGCAAAAAAAATCGGTGCAAATCAGTTTTATCTGGCTCTCGCATGTGTATGTGCTTCAATATCAATTGAATTGTGAAAGTTTTGTCGAGCGAAAGAGAAACATAGAGAGAAAAAAATCTCAATTGCCATATACACTTTAGACTAGTGAAGGCACACTCATGAGAACCCGAAACCAATTACAGAATCCAATTAGAACTTTTAATTTTGTGGTTGAACACTCTTAACATGTTTATCGATTATGTGACGGCTATAAATCACATTTGCTGTAATCGTTGTCATATGCACACATGCACAGCGACATTTTGAAGCGAGGTCAAACTTAACTACACCTGATGTTGCATGAACTTTGTTTTAAATTTTTCATCATCATTAAATTAACACACGTAAGCACACACACACAAGTATCGAAATACAAATTTTGACACATATGATTTGTCATTTTGGTCGAATGTGTGTATATGGAAAAAGACGTTGAACAAGTCAGCTGATCAAAAGCAGTTTGCGTCAAAATGAGGAAAGAGAGAAAAAAATGTGCTATTATTCAAAGTATTATTATTATAGTCACCATATGCATGAATGACCAATACATTGAACCGTTGAATGACATATGTTTGCCCAAAAAAAAAATTGTGTTTTGAGCACGTCAAATATGCGAGAAAGAAACAAAAACCGTACATAATATTGATTAATCAATATGCCATGACACAAGTGTAAATGCTCGCATTAAAATTCAATAAAACCTAATAAAAAATAATGGTTCAACAATGATGGTGACCAATGGGGAACTACAAACAAAAATCAACAATTGAGCAGATGCACGCACACATTGACCCGATTCAAATGGAACGTGAAGAGCGGAGCTTGTTTTTTTTGCAATTTCCCGTTTTATTTTGCATTCGCATTATTGTCAATAATAAATAACGAATATCGATTGTTTTTGTGCATTTTTCTGCGAACAACATCAATTTCCTGCGACATTTGATAAACTCGCCGAGATTGACGCATTTGTGGTTCGAAATTCATTTTTCGAGTAATTTTTTTTCGTCAGTTGAAACTTGTTGTATTAATCGTATTTACATTTGGCTGTCATCGAAGCGCTTGTAATCGTTTTTTGAGTAGTGTTGCTGTTTTCTTCTCTGAATTCAAAATCATTGTTTGTACATGATAGCGAAGCATGTGATATTGGATATGTAATTAGTTGAAATATGCGTGTGTGTGTAAGTGTCAGTGCCATACTTGAATATAGATCATCAAGTTGATTCAAGTGTATTTAAACGGGCGGTACTATTGTTTTCTTTTCGTTGTTGTTGCCTTTGCTCCTCCGTTGCGTTGTCGTTTTGTTTTTAATTTTTATTTTAATTCAAATAGAAAAAAATAATGTGCGCATTGCCCATATTCAAGTGATAAACAATAAATGCAATTCATTTTAAATGGGAGCGAATGAGTGCGCGATTCTCACTGGAACCATACGATATTTACACAAATTCAAAACAGCAAATTGACTACGACATAACGATTCGATGTTCGGTTTTATTTGTTTTTTGATTACAAAGATATACTCGATTTGCATCACAAAATGAACTTGTCACATTTTGTTTTCTTTCTCAATACGACGTAATTTTCTCAGCTTTTTTTTTCTTTCTCTCCTTCTTATTCGTGTTTAAAGAAACGAGTTCGTACTTGCGCATTGCCGTCTAATAATATTATGCTGGTATTAATTAAACTGAATTTTGTTGTGCCATTTTTGATGTAATGCCATGTTTATTGCGACGATTACTTATTTGCAATTTTGTGCTGCTGAGATCGATATGAATAATTATGCTGCCTGGGGATCGTGCAATTTAATGCGATTTTAGTTAAATCAACTGGAAAAGATTGTTGTTTATATTTTCTACGCATTCCCTTCAATCATGACATTGCTATTGGTTTAAAAACCACTATACAACTGATTTCATTAGTTTGATTGCTTCATTGAGATTCTACGACAAAAAAAAAAAAAACAAATGAAATTTGTTCATCGCACGTAGTTCAGAGTCGTGCTTTCTTTTTGTTTTGTCTACGTGTCACATGAAGTTGATGATAATTCCAGAGATAATAAATCAAGTTACCTTTGTGTTGATATGTCACCACAGGCAAAAACAATAGAGACAAAATGCGAACACCTTTCTACATGTTACAATCAATTGACTTGAACAATGCCAAGTAAAATTTAATATCTTTTTTGTTCACTTGACAAAAGTCAAAAATGGTAAAATGTAATTTACTTTCGTTTGAAAATGATGAAGGGATTTATTTGCTGTCACTAAAAAATGTTGCCAATTCATTTGCATTTGCATGCTATAGAATATAGAAGTAAATTGACAAAAAGACCCAGTTTTATTGAAACGAAAAAATTTCAACTACAATTTCTATATCTATGTGAGCCTCGGCACACAATTGAAGCGAAAATCAACTGAGACAACTGCAAAATTGACGAAGAATGAACATAAAAACGTTCACAAATTAACAGCGACACAAAAAAAGAAGTAATAATAATAAGCAATAACCAAGAACAAATTGTTTTGGGATTGTTTAAAGCAATCACATTGATCCTATTCAATTTTTACGCAAACACGAGTCACCGCTTCAGAGCAGTGAACACGCTCGAATTCAAATTTACTACAGACAGATTGCGCTCTTCGTATGTATACGATAGTATAATAGAATATGTATAACATTGTTTCAGCGTCGATATAGTTTCGGCGCGGTAGCCGAGGAGAGATGTCTGACAGCCGTTTTCATTGCATGCAATTGTATTTGTAGCCGTATCTAATATACATAAGTATATATATAAATAATATTTCAATGACATATCACTTATTGCTATGTCCATTGCTCGTTGATTTCATTATACATATATCACACGTTCAAATGGATTCGTTTGTGTATAAATCAGATTTGCCAGTGAGAGAGGAGAGAACGGCACCACACTCTTCTTTACCTCTCACTCATTTTTTTTTTTATCTCTGTGTCAGTTAAATTAAATTGAACCAATTATTATTGTCTCTAGATCGTTTCTATTTATATAATGTCATACAAAATATTCATATAATATTAACGTAGTATGTCATCTCATAAAAAAAATATGAGTTATGTATGTGTTAAACATTTTATATTGCATAAAATTGTGTTGCAAAATGGATCAAAATGAATAGGAAAACGGTGTGTAAACATTGAAATGTAACTCTGATGCGAGCTAATTGAAATTTAAAAGACACTAACTGACACAAACGGATGTTTATTCAATTTCAAACACGCATCCAGTCAAAATGGTGATGGGCGTTAATGAAAAACTTCTTGGTGTCTTGAAAAAGGTCATCGCGAGAAAAAGTACAGAGAATAAAAGCAGCTTATAAAGAAAATGTATACTTACTGTGAAATTGATTCCCTCAACCGAACCAATTGCAAAGCATTTGTCGCCCACATTACAAGCGCCGCTCAATATTTGATGACAGTCCATTGTGAGCGGAGTGTATATGTGTATATGTCTCGCGCGCGCTTAGAATATGTCTTGTGAGAGTGTGTTTCGCCTATTTAAATTGAATTATTTTCTATTTATTTTTGTTGTTGACTTTTTACTGAATGGCTGAACGTTTTCGTTTCGTTTTTTTTGGGCAAAATTCTCAATTTTTTTGCACATTGACGCATATACATACACAATCACACTTGTCCTTGTTCAAATAGCACGATTCTATCGTATATGAACGTTGCCGTTGTCGCGGTCTTTCGATGATTTCGTCTATACTTTTGGTGAGAGATAATTATTTTTTTTTTCTCTTCTTTTTGTTTGTTGTAGTTGTTGGTAAATCACTCACCACAACAACACATATGATTTTCGTTCAATTAATTAACTAATTTATTTTATGCTGTTTTCGTATTTTTTTATTATGCTCAACGACTTTTAGCTGTTGAGTCCCGTTTCGTATCATCGTTTCTTTCGTAAATTTTTCTTTTTTTTTTCTTGTAAACTTTTTTCTTTGTTGCCTACATTTTTTTTAATACTATTGTATATGTACACTAGACACATCGATTTCTTCGTTTTCACATTCCATTTTGATGTCAAAGTTGATGTAGCGATGCTAAAAGAAATTAAATTAAATAAGAATATAAACACATTTTAATTTGCATCATAAAATATGTCATATTTTTATTGTTATCTCGTAACATTCGCAATTGATCCGGAAAATATTTAATTTACAAACAAACAAAACGATTCTTTTGCATTTTCCATTCGATATAAACTTTCTTTTTCACTTTTCAATCATTTTTATCTCTCTCTATTTTTTGTAAATTCAAACCTTCACACTACATGAGCACGCACAAAGATTGGAAAAAGGACACACCGCAAAAAAAAAGAATCCAATTGATTTGCTCGTCCATTTGGGACAAAGCTTGAAAAAAATGACATTACACTCGAATTAGAAATGAGGGAAAAAACCAATGCTGCACAGAGTTCTCATTTTTCTTTTCATTCGCTTGAATGGTGACCAATGAGATAAACTAACAATGAATTACACTGAAAATATGTTTTAATTATATTATTTGTTGCGTTCATATTAAAACAGTTGTGCACTTTTTCTTCTTACAAACGTCAATTTTCCTTGCGTATGCAGACATTTTCTTATCGATAGTGAAAAGATTTCAGAAAGATTTTTTCATCGAATGCGTACTAGATGGCACTTGACTATGGATGTGGTTGTTGTGTGCATGTATGTGTGTATGTGTGCGAAATACAATCCGTATCACACACCAAACCTAGCTACTATATACATAGCACATGACACAATGACAAGCACACCAATTGTATTAGTGATGACGACAACAACAACAACAATACTAGCTGGGAAAAAAAATGAAAGGCTCTGTTGTTTTTTTCTTTTATTGCACAGAAAATATGGAAAATAGATTGAAATTCACCACAGATTTATTCGAAAATCGATTTCAACACTCATTCGAATGTAATGTATGAGCTTAATTTTCACAAGTCGTAAAATGTTTTGTGCATTTTTGCTAATTAAACTCAATAAAAAAATAACGTTGGAATATTCCGACCGATTCCAGTTCACATGATTCTTACTCAACAAAACAAATAGTAATCCCAATTCAGATGTAGTTTGACTTTGAATTTTTTTTGACACGACAATGTACAGCGAAAAAAAATCAATTACACACACCAAATGGTATAGAAGAAAAAGGTTTGATTTACGGTTTTTCATTCGAGTGTCCGAACGAAAGAAATCACCACGTAACAATATAAACGAGATATTAATATTTAAAGAAGAAAAAAATATATATATAGAAGAGAAGAAGTAATACACACGAATGTTATTGTAAGTCACGAGTGCAGTCTCTGTTGCTCGACTCAAACGTTTTCGATCAATGGAAACAGTTATGGAGAGTATTCCTGTGTTGAGTGTATATATTTGATATAGTGACCGAATACTGCCATTGTGTATCGTAATGTGTGCGTACACAATCAATCGTTTTCCAGCAGATATATAGAGTGTACGCCGTGCGCAACAAACCTTTCACTGTATGTGTCAATGCGCAGCATGAACACCGTTCTTTTTTCTTCTTCTTTCTCTACCACCAAAGGGGCGATTAGGTATGATACAATACAGCTTTTTTTATTTTTTATTTTTATTCACAAACTCTGTTCGCAATGGAATAGTGGGCGAGAGTGTGCGTTATGACTGTGCATTTGTATGAGTCTGTTTTGAATGAACGCATAAATGTCAACGTCAAATACACAACTGGATTCACTTTATCAAATCATCTGTTAGCATGATACGTTGAATCGCCGCCAGAGTGCAAGCGAAATGTCATCACTGGGTGGTTCGAAAGATACTTCACCTTTGATTTGGCGCTCAAATTTTAAGATTAAATCCAAATAAAACGCCTCTTGTCGATACACCATTCAGATGAATTTATTTGAAATATGATTTAAAGTGTCACTTTTGTTGGGTTTACAGTTTATATATGGAATATATTGATGCCTCATTCAATTCCGAAATTAGCGTATTTTGTATATTAAATTGGTAAAAATGCTGTTTGCTTGTTTTTTTTTTCAAATTACAAATATCAACTTTTTTTGTTTCATAAACTTGTTCCACATATTGAAATTAGAAATTTGTTCAATGAATAAAGTAACAAAAGTACAACAACTACGTTGGGATTGGTTTTTGATTGTATTTCTTTTGTTACTTTTATCCGTGATTTATAATGTATTTCAAATAAATTTACATTAAAAAATAGTAAAGGGCACATTTTAAGGGTGTACAAATAGAATTGTAAAACATCGATTAAATTACACTATCATTAAGTTATTTTGTTTGACTAAAACTGTTAGTTTTAACTCGTGATTAAATTGGCCACGAGCGCGAACAAAGTATACCAAAACATAGACTTTTGTGAACATTAAAATCGATACATTATTTTGTTTGTTGCGCGTAGCGCGTAACATCATTTTTTCTTGCTATTTATTCTTTGGGAAGTGTGTATATTGGTTTTTGTTTAGCAGTTGTTGGTTTATTCGCTTTGGTTCTTTTGGTCTACAGCAGAATAAAATGCTTCAAATTGATTTTGAAAGTGTTTTGTTTTGCTTTACTTGCTGACTGATTGTGATCGATTCGTTACTCGACCGGGTAATGTGGCGGCTGTTTGAGTTGTGCAATTGCAGATTGCTTCGAACATTCGTACGATTACAGTTTGAGCACGTGTGACCATTCGACCTCGTTTGAAACCATTGATCAATGACAGAGCTGAAACGATATTGAAGAAGAAAAAATCGAAACAATTGAATTGAAGGCGTATTCACATATAATAATTTCTCACTCATTATAATGAAATCTAGCTGAATCAAAAAAATAATAAATCACTGAAAAAACAACAGGATGCAATCATATGTGCATTTGAAACAAAAGTTTCAACTTTGAAACCCATTCACGATATGTTTTCTTTTATTTAAAAACATGATTGTTTAAAGAGCATGTATGTGTATATGCGTTATGTACACGGCTGAGCCAAGCTTCACCTTGACACTGATAACGTCTTGCTATTGTATTTCTCATCCATTTATTAGTGGGTATACGGTGATGGAAAATATGTTACTACCCTTCGTAAAAACATCCATCAAACTTTAAATTGTTTCAATGAAATGGAATAATTAAATTTCATTCATCCCTTTCCAATAAAATTTCAATTCAAATTTAATGACGGGCATTCCATTGTATTCACTATTCAATACAAATTGCAAATCATTTTCATGCATACATTTATTTCATTCATATCGAGCTTCCGTCGTTTAATGAATGATTCGATAAAAAAAAACAATATAATTACAATGTGACATTTTTATTCACCTGCATGATTGACAGACATATCTTATCTACGTAACATGCGCTATTGTTAAATTTGTTATTATATTAATGGATCTTGTGTGACTTTAATATCAATTCATTTGCTAAATTGAACTTTGTTCACATTTATCAAATTATAAATAGATACACCTTTTTTCTATAATATTCTTGAATAAAATTGATGGCTTTTTGTGATTGCTGAATATTTGTTTATTTGTATATGGTTTTTATTGTAATAAAACTTTGATTTTTGTTTTCAGGCAAAGGTAAATTTCGATGGATTTGTACCATGAGTACATTTAACTGTATAATAAACTCGATCGCATGGGTCTTTGTACTGTTTTGCTGTAATAAAATATATGATTCATAAATAAAAGGGTGTGAATTATTTTATTTGACTCAATATGACTTACGAACTGTGCGACAACTGTCCCAACCATTCAATGCGAATTCTATGCAAAAAAAAAGAAAAGAAATTATTTTGCTCGCATCGCCAATATTTTTTGTAGACATCAAGAATGAACAGTTTTGACATACTCCAAAATAATGTGATGTCATTAAAAATATAAGGATGCAAGCTGGTAAATTAAATAGACTTACCTTGTAACTCGGGTGGTAGAATTACTCGGGCTTGCGTCTCCATTTTTGATTCAATAAACTCTTTTTTCCTGGACAACTATGAATCAGTTATTTGAAGAAAAAAAATCTGAAAATTTCACTTTCAATTTATATGCAAAGAGTGTACTTACGACACCAGTCATGTCAATAACACATAGGACATAACACTGAAAAAACCAAAAGAGAAAAAGAAATAAAATATTTTCCAATTTTGATGGATTTTTATTACCTTCAATGGTTTATCGTCATCTGGAAATGTTCCTATTTTGAGCGCATCCACAGCTTCTGAAAAGTGCAATATTTTCAAAATAAATGCCATGCTGATCAATATTTATTAGTGGGACATAATAAAGTAAAGTATTTTTTATATATAATAAGAACAACTTTACTGAAGATTTTCTACGTTATCACTTATGTACAAGGCTCATTTTACGTCACTTCATATTTTATTCAATATGACAAAATATTGATTTTAAGCAAACCTACCCACTGAAGCACCAGTTTTTGGCAAACATGCATTGCGAAACATTTGCAAAGTTTTTTCAAACTGCTTCATACTTAACTAAAATGTGTAGTTAAATAGACGTTTTTTTTTAAATTTATAATGACTATAATTGACATTGAAATACAAAAAAATATCACTTACCGCTGCTTTTGCATAATCCATTTGCAACAATAAAATAGCCACTAAAACAAGTGCAAAGTTTGATATTTGGTTTTGTTTCATTGCAGCCACAGACTAACATAAATTCTTGAATCAATTTACACCTTTTATTGTTCGTTGTCAAAACACTTGTTTTTTTTTTTAGTTTTTGCACTATTATCTGCACCAAAGAGATCTCCGTCAAAAGTTTCCGCACACCGAAAATCATTTCCTTTTATACACAATATTTTAACACCGTTTATTCGATCAGTTGGAATAGGAGACATGGCAAACGTTGTAATTAATAAATGTTTTAATCGTAGATTGTCACAAAGATTTTGTCTAGCACTTTACAGCATATTAGCATTTCACCGAACATGAAAATTACCAGCTTTCAAAAATTAAATTCTACAATTGTATTATTCTGTCTTTTCACTTCAGTCACGCAAGTAACGGATGTGATATTCTGACATTTTTCAGAATATTAGATTTCAATCATTCAATGTATGTTGTACATTGTTTCAAATTTTAAATGATGTGTTGATGATTTCAAAAGAAGTATATCAATTAGTGAAATAGATGAATTTTACAACCAAAATAAACTTGGTAATACCTAGACAGCAAGAACTGAATTATAAATTACACTTGGCGTTTCGGCTGACGACAGCCAAAAAATGTTTTCAACTCTTGAAAAATTGATGTGATGTGTTACCTTTTCCATTTTTCTTCATCTCAGTCTGCGAATAGAAGGGAAAAAACTTGTGAAATAGTTGAAAAACTATTGAATTCGTTTGGAAGAATTATTTTTTACCTTATTATTTTCTTCGAGCCGAGCATCAGCTTCGATTTGAGCTTTCTTCAGAATCTCATCGACGAATGATGTCATTTCGTCCATGTTTTGTGGGTCTTCACAAAATTCAGCGATTCGCACATTCAGTGGTATATGGTTCGGGCTAGATAAATCCAAGCTCATTGCTCGTATACGTAGGTGAGCATCCGTTTCAATTGGATTCACATCCAAGTCAAATTTTGCTCTAGTTATAACATAAAAATCGATTAAAGAAACATGATGAATAATAAATCGTGTTCTCATTTGAACTTACTTTTTTCCTGTTTTCACCTCCATTTTGAGCGTACTCTTTTCTTTTCCAGACTGATTGAACGATTCGATGGGAAAATTCGATTGAAAAGGTTCACTTTTGAAGCAACAAGCTATTTTTTTTCGCTATCTGCGTATACAAAGCTTCCGAAGTGTATGTTGTGCGTGTGGTCTGTTTGAATAGCAGCGGATTTATCGATAATTTGCTTTGTTGCTGAGCTTTAGGCTCAGTCGTATATTTTCTACCATAAATAGAACTCGACTCGTTGATAAGTGTATTGATGATGTACGTGAGCAAGAACAAAAATAAATAAATAAACACAATAAATAAAAATGGAGAAAATGTTTTGCGTTTCGTTGAATTCCGTGAGAGTATGTTCAACACCGTTTCGCAGAGTAACGCAATCGAATGGAAGTAATAAGATGATCGGGATAGAATGAAAATTGCTTGCTGGTATGTATGAATAAAACTCTTCATATTGGAATGTCAGTCGCTTGAACATGTATATGTTTGTATGAGTGTGTTTTACTGTAATGCTTGCACCTCAAAAGAATATGATTTTGGCAAAACGCATGGCAAAAATTCCATTTGCGAATCACTGTATGCGAGCGAGCTGTTTCAACAGGAGAACCTAACTCATTGCCAACAATATTGTGTGACTACAAAGAAATGTCATGCGCTGTTGATGCTGTGTATAGTAAACACTGATTTTAAAGCAATTGTTCACTCCGTACATGCAATGTTGCACAGTAAATTCTATTTTATGCAGATAATTGAATGCAACAATTCATTTTATGGAAAATAGATTTTATTTTTTTAAAAAAAGTCGTGATTTACACAAAATGTACAATATGTTGGAAGTTGTTTTATTGATTTTTTATTCTTCATGGCAACATTAACTCATTATAGTTCAAGTTTCTGAAGCAGTTCTGGATGTGCGTCTTCATCGTTGTGAACAATTGATTTCAAGAAACCGATATATTTTTCCGGCAATTTGGATTCTTCGGCTCCACGCCAAATCACATTTAAATAGGCTGAAAAATGAGGAAAAAAATGGAAATTTCAAAATGTTGTGTTTAACAGCACCAATGGCTATATAGTTTCTGTAGAGTAAAAACGTTCTATTTGTCAATATAAAGCCAAGCAATTCATTGATGTCTGTCAAATGGGCGTGAAAAAAAACTCACTTTTCGATGGTTTTCGTTCATACGGAATTTCTGGCGCACTCAAATCGATTGCATTTCTTGGTGTATTTGTCATTTGATACAAACGACATTCAAGAATTTCGCCATCGGGTGTTATTACTTCCTTTATAAGTGGCACGTACAAATCAATGTGAACTCCTTCCTGCGCGTCTAGCGATGGCAAATGGGTCAAATCAATTTCATAAACAGCGCCCCAAGTTGTATGATTTTCATCCTCAATAACTGTTGCCGACGATCCATTCCAACGTGATGGTTCATCACGCGGTTTCCAAAAGTCCAAACGATAACCCTGGGCAAAGTTCAAATTTCATTTTATCTTACGGAGTTGTTAAGCAATTTCAATTGTTTACCTTTAATTGTGCGATACCCTTGCGAACAGCAGATGAATTTTGCAAATGAATTCGTTTTGTCCATAAATTACTGCCGTACGCAAAATACAAAAACGTCGCACGTTTACTGGGAACATATGCAGCAGACATATTGAACAATAACTAATCAACAAGCACTTTTTTTTAATTTATTAAATTGCAAATTTATTGGCTCAATGACTACAATGAATGAATGTGATTATACACACATCATCAAATCAACAATGGGTTGTGAAATGTCAATGTAACAGTATCGTACTTTGTCAAACATCTGTTCGATCATATGATTTGGTGATAAGAAAAATTGATTGTGAAAATAAAAATAATAGTTTCTGCGATGGTCAATGAATAAAATTTGAATACGATTTTTGAATGAAGGTTCATTGATGGTTTTCATTTCGGGAAAATATTTTAACGAGAAGAGAAAGTTATATTCAACGATAATACTGCGATCCCTATTGGAAAAGATGTGTTATGTAATATTACGTACGACGACTGACACTGACATTTCTCGTTGACTGTCAATCGTACGGTATTAGATCCAATGGATTTTTGATTCGATAGCAGAATGAACTCGATAAGAGTACTTTTTTCGAATTTATCGCTTGGCAAGCAATTGTTGTCGACCAGAAATCAATTGCCCATCGTTAGTTTTGAACGTTCTTACAAATATCAAAAACATGATATTCCCACACCAAAACCTGGCGGCGGCAAACAGTATAGACGGTATGTTTGTTTAATTTTGTAAAGTATAGGTTATGTTAGCTTCTGGAAATCCATAAATAATTTTGATAAAAAAATTGTTTCAATCTAGATTGGTGCATTATCCCGAAGGTAAAAAATATACTGTAAAACCATTGGATGTGACTCATTTGGCTGGTCGTGATCCTGTAACTGGGCGCGTGGTATGAATTTGAAAAAAAAAATCAATGTGAAAAAAATGCAACATGTTCAACATAAATGTAATTTTATTTTTTTAGGCGGCAAAAGGTATTGGTGGTGGTGTAAAACACAAATTCCATTGGGTGAAATATGATCGTGATTGCCCCAATGATGTTTCGACTCAGGAAGAGAGAGTGATTGATGTCATGTTTGATGGACATCGATCGGCTGATGTTGCATTGGTCGGCACTGGCGATAAACTACGATACATTATTGCAACAGAGAATATGAGACCTGGTGACATTATCAAAACATCACGCACCATTCCTCGTAATCCAGTTCGGGCCAGTGAAGGAGACGCATATCCATTGGGTGCATTGCCAGCGGGAACGAAAGTGCATTGTATTGAACAAACACCGGGATTTCCATATCACAAAATAAGAGCGGCTGGTACATTGGGAACGATTCTCGTAAGTTTTGTATTTTTTTCTACATTCGTTGGGCTTTGTTTTCTTAATTATTGTTTATTTTTTTTTTTTTTTTAGCGAAAATTTGATAAATACGTTGTAGTCCAAGACACGAGAAAACATGAACTAGCTTTCCATGAGACTTGTATGGCTACAGTGGGCCGGGTGTCAAATGTTGGCCATCAAGATGTTAAACTTGGTTCGCATCAAAAAAATCGTGAGCTCGGGAATCGTCCACGTTCGGGACTGTGGCAACGAAAAGGCGGTCGATTTGGGCGAAAAATTAAGCCACAACCACCTATGCGTATTGTATCTGGAATGCCTCCAAAACCAAAGGAGGTGCTTATTTTAACAATGGATCCACACCCTGAACCAGTGCCGATTTATGGCAATGCATTTTAATTTAACACAAAATATCGGTTGATGTATTAGTCTTAGTATAAAAGAAACAAAAAAACACTAAATGCTTGCAAAACAGATCATTAAATGTTTATTTTTCAAGAACTATGGAAATACGTGAACTAAATTTAAAATACAATATTGTACACATCGGAATAGTCTTTAACAAAATGAACTTCTAAATCTTTTGTTATGAAATCGGGCAATTCAGCGTAGTCTTTACGATTATCTTCGGGCAATATAACACAATGCACACCGACCCGTTTTGATGCAATAATTTTCTCTTTTATACCACCCACCGGAAGTACTTTTCCCGTTAACGAAATTTCACCGGTCATCGCAATGTTTTGGCGAATTGCTTTGTTCATGGCCAGCGATGTGAGAGCTGTGACAATTGTAATGCCAGCCGATGGGCCGTCTTTTTTGGTGGCTCCTTCGGGTACATGTAAATGAATGTGATTTGATTCCAAGAAGTCGTTGCTTGGATCGATTTGTTGCATAAAATTTCGTGCTACGGTTAAGGCGATTTGTGATGATTCCTTCATTACGTCACCTAAATGTCCTGTTACAGTGAGTGTACCATTTTCTGATTTTTTCTCATCACTTGCCACTGTCTTCATGATTTTTCGTTTGGCCGTTTCAATGAATAGCGTTGAACCTCCTGTAAATTTTGGAAAAGTTTGAAATTAAAATCAAGTTGGACGAATAGACACAGTCGAATATATTACCCATTGCTGTCCATGCCAAACCCATCACAACACCCGGAGGTGTATCTTCATAGATTCGATCGTGTGTGAATATGGGCTTGCCAACGAAATCACTTAAATTCTCCGAACTAATGGCCAATGTATCTGCCTCTTTTTTGACAATTTTATAGGCCACTTTACGAATTATCTGCAAATGATACAACCGAAAATTATTTACTGAACTAAACAAAATCATTAAAATCAAATTCCAATTTGAAATACCTTTTCAACGTGCTTCTGCAAATTACGAACACCAGATTCTCTGCAATAGCTCTTAATCAGAGTCCACAATGCCTTCTCTTCAATTTGAATTTGTTCGTCATTCAATCCGCTTTCTTTTCGTGCATTTGGAATAAGGTATTGTTTTGCAATAGCTACCTTTTCTTGGCCAACGTAGCCGGACATTTCAATCAATTCCATTCGATCGCGGAGGGGATCTGGTATCGTATCGATGACGTTGGCCGTACAAATGAATAGGACCTTCGACAAATCGACCGGTACATCCAAAAAGTGATCAAGAAAATTGCAATTTTGTTCTGGGTCCAGAAGCTCCAGCATTGCAGATGATGGGTCACCTTGGTGTGAACGACTGCTCATTTTGTCGATTTCATCAATCAAAATCAATGGATTTTCGGTTTTTGTTTTCTTTAAACATTGAATAAGTTTACCAGGCATTGATCCGACATATGTTCGACGATGACCTTTGATTTCTGCCACATCGTACATTCCACCCACACTGAATCTGAAATATTCTCGACCTAACGCTCTCGCAATGGATTTGGCTGTAAATGAAATATAGTTTTCAATTGAAAAGTCAGTTAAATTCAATCAATGCTTAAAATTACCAATTGAAGTCTTTCCGACACCAGGTGGTCCGTGGAAACATAGGATTTTGCCTTGTGTTGATCCTTTCAATTGGCTTACAGCGATAAATTCCAAAATACGTTTCTTAATCTCTTCCATACCGTAGTGATCTTCTTCTAATATTTTTTCGGCCGATTCCAAATTTAAATTGTCTTCACTTCGAATACCCCACGGCAATTCCGTCAACCATTCCAGATAATTTCGAGTTATTCTGTACAAACACAATATTATGTTAATCAAGGGGCGGAGATGAGTGAGACTCAAACATGTGCTTCTTCTTCAAAACAATACATACACAAGCATCACATGTACAGCAGAAGTCAATAAGTATTCATCACCGAAACGAAGCTGAGTGTTTGCACTGCTGTTATGGCGTATACTTTTGATGTTTGTGAGTTAGTGTGTATGTATTGTTTTGAAGAAGAAGCACATGTTTGAGTCTCACTCGTTTATATGTAAATAACATAGGCATTTCCAGGCCATGATGTTAATTAATATGTTTACGTCCCATGTTTTATAGCAGAAAACTAGCGCTTACGTGAATTCTGAACTATTGTTCTCCAAATAGGCGAGTTTTTTTATTTCATCATCGATAACAGTTTTAACGGCTTCCGGTACAACTTTAGTTTCCAAAAGTTTTTCATATTTTTCGGCCAGCGCATCTTTATCGTCTTTTTCCAATCCCAATTCCCGTTTTATAACTTTCAGTTGTTCGCGCAACATAAACTGTTTGGATATAGTTTTCAATTAAAACGTTTTTAAATTCAATTAATGCTCAAAATTACCTGTTTATGCTGTTGTCTGACTTTATCTTCAACATCTCTGCCAATTTTCTGTTGTAAATCCAATAGTTGCTTCTCTTTAATCAATAAATTAAGTGCAGTTTTCATGCGAGTAAACACATTTTTTTCCTCCATAATCTCTTGCAGTTCCTCAACTTTCGACGAGGTTATAGATGCCGCAAGATCGGCTAAATATGATGGATTATCATTCACTCGCAAATTATTGCCCAATAATTGTTGTAGATTCTCACGAATAAGTGAATTAGATAAAATAATATCGCGAACCGTTTTCACAATTTCCATTGTAGTCGCTTTGTATTCGTCGGAATTTAAATCCGGTTGTTCTTCTGACATATTTTTTACTTGTACCATCAGAATATTCGATTCAGAATTGTTAAGCATATTTTGAATTTGACGATATTGTTTGCGATCTTGTTTGCTTGTCGGCGGATTTGCTATTCGTTCATGTTTCAATTGCTTCTCAAATTGAATGCGTCGATATGCAATGGCTACAAATTGTAAAGAATTTTCGCGACGACTGACTTCGGTGATTTTCACAAAAGTGCCAGTAGGATAGCATTCATTTAGATCTTTCACCTCGGAAACTGTGTTGCCTTCTTGGTTTTTTCGCACAAATACACCGGCATACGGTTCGCCCATTGACAATTTCCATTCAAGTAATTTTATCAATTTCGGATCGGTGATTTCGAACACTTTCATAAATTTCGGAAAAACGGGATACGTTGTTGCAATTAGAGGTACTCTTGGATAAAATTCTGGAACAGTGGTCGTTGAGGGAACACCTTTCTTATCATTTAAAAATACCTCGTCGTCATCGCTCTCATCCTCCGAAAATAGGTTGAAATTATCACTTTCGAACATATGATCGTCATCAAAACCACCAGACGACGCTGAATTATTATTTCCATCTGGTGGCGTTTGTGCCGAATAGTTACGCCATGAATTATTCCAATTGTTTGTTTGCGCAAGCAGGTTGCTTTGGAATCGATCACCAAACGAAATGATTCCGATTGCTTTTCGATTGTGAAATTCACTTTGTGGATTTGAGGTTAGGTTTTGCGATGAAAATCGCGACGAATAACACAAATTTCGATTAAATGCATTGACACGCAAATTCTTGGCCATATACTGCCGTAACATCAACGGCACCGCACAAATTCGACTCATTTTATTTGAAATCAATTAAATGACGGTTGATAAAATTGAAGAAATACGGAAAAACACGGGTCTCCGTCAATTCAATGAGGCTTCTTGAATAATCTGATGTATACAAATTGCATTTTGACATAAAATGACATGTGAGCTCAACTGTCAAGTCACTTCCAGGAGTTCGGTTGATGAACGCACTCGCGCATTGGAATGTTTTCAATTTGAACGTTTTTATTTCAAGTGTGAGTAGATCAAAGACGCAATTTTTTTTAAAGACACAAATACTATTCACATTTCAATTGTCAAAATACTAATAAATAAATACTAAATTTTTACTAATAAACAAAAGTTTTTATTTTTATTAGATTTGTGATAGCAATGAGTGCCACTAAAGATACTGGAACTTCAGGGGAGCCCAGCAAGACTCTGAATATTCGAAAAAATCAAGTAATAAAGCAAACGATACATCAGCTGTATTCGGATAGAGAGGAGACTGGCGATGTGACATTCATCGTAGAATCACAATGCATTAGAGCACATCGTTGTATCCTGGCAGCAATGAGTGCCAAGTACAAAGCCCAATTTTATGGATTAAATCCTGATATGGGTGACATTAATGTTTCCAATAAATCTGCTGCTTCGTTCAACGAATTTTTACAATTTTTCTATTTAGAAGAAATTGTTTTAACCGTTGAAAATATCGAAGATGTCTTGAACTTGGCCAAAGAATCGCTTGTCGATGGAATTTCAAATGAATGCGTTAGTTTTCTGACAGAAATCGTGACAGAGCTAAATTTGTGCTGGACCTATCGTTTGGCCATTTTGCATGATATCAAACAGCTAAAAGACGTGTGCGAGCCACGAATTACCGAAAACATCACGAAAATATTTAGATCCGATGATTTCATCAATTGTGATCACAAATTACTTATGCACATTCTGAAATTGGAATCATTGAATTGCAAAGAAACTACCGTTTTTGATGCCTGTATTTCATGGGCAAAAAACGCTTGTGAACAAAAAAATGTGGATTGCGAAAAAGTAGAAAATTTACGCGTTGAATTGGCTGATGCAGTTGGACAAATACGCTTCGCTTCCTTGAGTATTGATGAGTTTGCCGCCCTTCATAAATCGTACGAAGGATTTTTTTCGCCGGACGAATGTGCCGAAATATTTTTCATAATTGGTAAACTTAAAGATTTCAAGTCGGAACGATTCAATCAAATACCCCGGAATCCATGTGATGGAGCTCTTGCTAATCAGTGTGATCAAGCATTTCAATTATTATTCTTTTGAAATTATAAAAACTTAACATTGTCAATAAATATAAGCACAATAATTGAATCGTAATTTAATTTTAAAAAAGTGTCTCTGATTTCAACAAGATATATATTATAATATTCGCATAAATCAAACGGAACGATTACCTTTCATTCATTTTTCTGTTTTCATCTTTAAAAAATTGAAAAATTGCATTTGTTTTGCCATATAGTTTTTTATTATTTTTGTTTTTTTTTTTTTTAATTAGCACATCCAGTAAATACAATTTGATCACGAATATGTACATTAGAGTGTTTCCGTAGTCAAAAAATAAAAAAATGGTAGTCGTTAATTAAAAGTGCAAAAAATTCTAAGACAAATCATGACATTTACACAAAGCATCGAATGATATTGACACTTCCCGAAGCAAAAAATTCTTTATAGCAGAATGTGTCTAATGTCAAAATATTGAATTAGCATTATTGATGTGAACCGAGCCTTATGACATTTGACGTTCATTTCATTGGTTTTCGTAATGTCATAATCGCCGCTTCATTCATACCGAGAACACATTATTTTCGATATACGTGCATTTTGTATCGATTTGATCCGAACTTTCCACACTTGATCAATCGATTGACAAATTGTTGAATTCAAGTCACCAGTGTGAGTAAACTTAATCATTTTATTACCGTGAAAAATATTGGTTAACTCATCAATAAAAAATATTATTTTTAATGAAAAATCAAAAATTGAATTACGTGCTTACGTGCAGTTATTCCTCTTGTTCTTATTGTGAAATTGATTTTTATTTCATAGCACGTAATATAAGCCATCTATAACGTGAAATATATTTAAGTAGTCTAATAATTATTTAACTCAATGTTCAACACATATCATTTCATGAAAAAAGTAATGAATTTCACAATTATTCTGCAGTACATAATTCTGTTGCGTGAGGTGGTGAAATTCATTTCAAGCGGTGATACCCATTTTGAATTGGTTCCATTGTTCAGAGAAGAGAAACAGTTATTGTTTGGGCTCAAATTGAATCTGAATACTCAATAGTATGCGTTACATTGTTTTCTTCTCTAAATCACTGCCATTGTTATCAATCCGAAGATTTTTGTATTTTTGTGTGCTGCATCATTTTGTGTGTGTACCAAAAAAGGAGATAGATTCTTGTTCTGTTGTCGCTCGAAAAAATTGAATTTAAAACATGTGTGTGCATATTTGTGCAGGAGATTTATTCATTCGTAAATTTCTATAAAAAATCTCGATATTTTTGTGTCTCAGCCAGGTATCATTAATATGAAAAATCATTTAGTAAAAAATATCGATATTGATCAATGAAAATGTCTAAATATCGCCAATTCAATAGTATTCGTTTTTAAACTAAATCGAATGTGTGTTTTTTTAATTAATTTCAATAGAAAAATGGCAAATCGTTACAAGCCGTCTCTACCAGCTGAGGGAGAAAAGAAAGATGAAATAACGACGATCAAATGTGCACTGAAATCAATAATTCGGCCGCCATACCAGCAGGAACTGATTGGCAAAATAACTGATCTAAGTCTACAGGCTACAATGATTTGCAATTTGGGTTCGTTGCTGTTCTTATTAGAGGTGCAAAAGGCATATGAACGTAGGCATCAACAATGGTGACTTCAGCTTCTTTGCCAATAGCGGGGAAGAAAAGATCAACACATGCTTCAGCCAAGTGCTAGCAAAGCACAACCCAACAAATGTAATTATACACTAAAATCCACTATGGATAACATGGATTTTACAGTTCTATTTTAATTAATATATTGATTTCAATTCAAAATTCATTTTAATTTTCGCATCCATTCTAACTGGTTTTTTTCTCTTTTTTCATTCCATTGTAATTTACAATTGTAAATTAATTTACTACCGAAGCCGAAGCCGAAAAAAACACCAAAGCCGAAGCCAAAGCCAGAGCCAAAGCCAAAGCCGGAGCCAGAGCAACCATCAAAGACTAAACGGAAACCCCGTGGACCAGCAAAAGAAATTCCACCAATCGATCCAGAATTCAAGGCAATTGTGGAAGGTCTTGATGAGGCCCATCGCTTTGATTGGCCCAGCAACAAAGATTTCGGTAATGGCCTCAAACATCTATGCAATCAATACATAGACAACAATGTCACCAATTCGCAAACACATCCGGATAAACACATAACCCAATATCTGAAGATGAAAGTGTTTCAGATGAACACAAATGAAGCCATTGAAGAGAAATACCTGCCAAGTGACATCGACTGTGTGGTGAAACTCATTCTCAAGGAAAAGGTATGTTAAAAATGTTTATTCAAATCATGAAAAGAACTGAGTTTTCAATGGTTCATATTGTTTAAGCTTACAATGGGTTTTTTTTGACTCGTTGACATATTTTTTTAAAAATGAATTTATTCTATTTCCCTTGTTTCATTGAAAAAGGTCATCAAAGTGCCAGCTAGTGACCCAAATAAACTTTATCGGTGCGGAGTTTTGTATGACATCGTCAATAAGTTGAATGTGTTCCCGGAAATCGACCTACATGATCTCACGACCAATTCAAAAAATTGGTTCAAAGCTGTGCCGATGTATCTATCTATGCAACGCGAGATAGAAGAATTTAATTTGCTGCGAGCACATCAAGAACCACCGAGGAAACGCAAAAAGAGAAAGCGCAGAAGACCGAAGGATAAGAAACGAAAGTGGTTCATCAAACGAAAACAAATGCTCGACGATTTGAAATATCTACCGTGCATTCGCAATTTGGTGGTAGTTCCGATGTGTGATTTTCGGCGTACGCACTTCAAAATCGACTGTTCGAGTATGTATCAGATCTTGTCTTCTCAAAAATTGATTCCGAAACAGTTAACTGAAGACGGAAAACCGAGTGAAAAAAATATTTCACAAAAGGTTTTCAACGAGAATAAAGATTACATATGGAATCAGTATTTTTATATGCGTAAAATTCGGTGGTTTGTGCGCCGCAAAAAGAAATTTGACTTTTCGATAAACAGCGATGGAATTGCTGTGTCTCTGCAGTATTCCACCAAAAAGACGGAGACCAGCAACACACAATCGGGCACCAGTCGATTGGACATCATTGACATGTTGAAGGCGGGCAAATTCAAAAGATTGGGAGGTACAGATTCAGGCATGCGGAACTGGAATACCACAACAATACATGAAATTGATACTTGCAAAGAAGTATGTGTTGTATACTAAAATACAATGATGCACATTGTGTTTAAGTTCACTAATTATTTTTGTTTTTTTTTTTCGATTTATTCGCAGATCAACTTTGTTAAAAAGAGCAAGCAGTTCCATTGGGAGACACATCAAAACGTACGAAACGCAAAAGCGAAGCGATTCACGAAAAATTTCATCGAGAAAGAAAGACAAGATCGAGAGAATCGTGAGCTGTACGCAATGATGCCATCACCAAAAGGTTCACAGTGGCTGAGCTATATTAAACATCGAGTTAAGATGACCAAACATGGAATCGAAGCTTACTCGACTGCAAAGTACACTAGACTCGCCTTGGACAAATACATTGGGAGCAACAAAGTTATCGACGGATTTGTGAACAAGATCACCAATAAGGAACCGACTCTGTTATTCCATGGTGCTGATGGCGAAGTACCACCTGATTGCCCGATAAAAATAAAGAAACACGTGCGGTGTCCGGGTGTGCGCAAGCTGATGCAGGCATATAAGAAGCGACCATACATTGTTGTCGTGCCGGTGGACGAATGGGGAACATCTCAAACAGACGCAAGATGTATGTGCCGATTCCAAAACCAACCCAAATCGGCCAAATTCAAGATGTGTCGGTGCATACCCAACGCCATAACACTGCTGCCAACCAAAATTGTGTCTAAGTTTGGCAAGACAGATACATCTACATATCGACAGTTACAACGCACATTGAACGGAGCATTTGAAATAGAAGAGGAGCTAATGTCAAGAGTAAAACCTTACTACAAAAAATGGCAATTAGACCTCGAATGCACCGTGACTTGGCATCGTGACGTCGTGGCTGCTAAGAACATTCTACTGAAAGGTAAGGATATTGATACACAATGTGATTGAATGATCGCAAAAAAAGATTCATTTTTTCGATTGATCAGGACTATGGACATTGCTTGGACTTCCAATACCTGCTGCAATCAACCGATATTGGAATCAAATAAACGCCGATGCCGCCGTCTTCGACGACGATAACGACGTGGACATATCCGAGCCCGAGTTCGAATAGCAGCCAACTAATCATCACAATACCATACAATAAAATAAAATAAATCATAAGTAACATTTGTTACGTAACTGCTATCCCGAATATGTGGGTTAGTTATGCACAAAAGAAGTCATTTCCCATTTGGTTGAGATGGCTGTGCGGGAGTACAAACAGAGCGTTTTTCCATTGTAAGTATCATTAGATTTCGAAAACAGTTTTTTGCTTCGGGAAGTGCTAACATCAATCGCTTCGTTGTATAAATGCCATTAACTACCATAGAATTTTGCCTACTTTGAATTAATAAATACCATTTTTCTATTTACAGATATGGGAAACACCCTAATTGTACATCAATCTTATTTAAAATATAATTTTCATTAATAGTTTCTTTCTGTAGAGCTTTCTTTTTCATGTCTATTCATATATATAAATATACACTTATATATGAGTTTGCGCATAAATTGGCCTAATTTGATTAAATATAAATTCACAATTAAACAACTCTGTCATTTGATTTTATTCGTTAAATTAGTATTTTTAATTCGATCGAATGAAAGTAAAAAAAAAAAATACATTGATTTGGCAACTACAAAAATGCCATAGAACGTCATTTTTGTAGAATAAGTTTTATATACGTAGTAAAATTAAGAAATAGCGTGAGATAAAAACAATTCTGACTTTAAGTATCTCTTGACATTAGGAACACATAAATAAATATTCGATTATAAAATCTTAATTGAATTTTGTCTCATTGTGAGAAAATTATCGAGATACCATAATTTTTGTTTAACATAAAACAGATCAATTAGAGCAAAAACGATGGAAACAGTCTATGTATAAGTAGTTCTTTAATTAAATATTTTCTATGTTATCACACTTAAAAGCAATTCATTAAAAAAAAGAGTAATAAAAAAAAGTAATTAGTTTTAGGCGCATTTTGAAATTTATCTAATTTAATATGACAATGGTGCAGAAATGTTGAAGGCGAAAAGTGAGTTGTCCAATAACAACAACTATTAATCCCATTGAGAATCAAAGTACAATTGAGCCATAATTAAATTAAAATTAAACTTAAACTTAAATAGGTGTTTTTCATTAGAAATGGTAAATTTGACTAGAGAAAAATGGAACCATTTTGATTATGAGCTGATATAAGGTGTAAGCTTTTGCTGTTTGTCAATTTGGTTTTTTGATTTGATTGGTCTGATTTGGTAACAAGTGGATACCAGGACTTTGATAATTTCATTAAATTGCCGTCTTGAAATCGGATTTTCTTTCGAATGCTTTTAAACAAACCATCCTCTGATGTGGAAGAGAATTCTTTCGATGGTGTCGTTGTCGAAGTTAGTTTTGAGCATGCATTGTTTGCGGTGATGGTTTGTGTCATCACTTTGGCTTGATCTCCGTTGCAACTGGATTTGTTTGCAGCTGAATTTTCATATGCAGTTTGTGTTTGATTGGTATCACTGCTGCAATATGAATTGGTCGTGTCCGAACTGTCGGTGCTTAATTTTGATGCGATTGCTTGTGTTGTTGACAACTGCGATTTTGTTGTGTTTATATCCGAAAGATTCATGTCATTTTTCAAAAGTTTTTCTAAGCTTTCAATCGAATCTTTGAGCATTGTACTTGGTAACGGTTTAAATCCTTTGAGATACGTATCGGGGCTAATAACATTCTGTACTGACGATGAATTTGATTGATTATTGTTGTCTAGCAACTTGGTTTTTTCATTCACATGCACATCGTCGGGCAAATCAAGACTACCACCCATCGATTGTCCGGACGCCAAACTTTTATTCGTTAAAGATGAAAATATATTATGTTGTCGGCACAGTGATTTTCGTTTTTGCGTCAATCGGGCACTGTCCTCATTTATTTGATCATCAATTTCATCAACCTCATAATCCTCACTGTTTGCCGTTACCTTGCTACTTTGATGTGTTAAGAGTTCATCTTCGGGTGCATTTTTTCGCTGTAAAATGTATGTAATCATTGACCCTTTGCCTTTAACATTGATTTTTCCACGGCATTTCATTTTGTATCCTCGTGGTTCGAGAATATTGTACATTTCTTGGGTCACTTGAATGTGATCCAAAACACCAGTGGAATCCATTCGACTCGCTACATTCACTGAATTACCTGAATTTATTCAAAATAAATGTTTTATTATTATTTTGGGCTGTATGTTCAAGCTTTTTTTTGTCATTTTTCAATTCTATCTCAATTCCATTTTTCTATGAAATGGAGAATCTACGTACCCCAAATGTCATACTGAGGTTTTCTAGCGCCTATAACTCCTGCCACAACTGGGCCAACGTTTATTCCTTGAATGTGAGCAAAATGAAACAAACAAAACTTTTATTTCGGCCATTTTTGTCGAATCCATCATTTTTTCCCACTTACCGATTCTCATGCGGAAATTGTTAAACGAATGCTCGTTAACTTCTTCAATTTTGGTGAAAAGTTGCATTGCATAGTCAGCCATAGCGGTAACATGGCGGAAATCATTTAGATCGCACGTGCTTTCCGTTAAACCTGTTTTGTTATTTTGTTTCATTTCAATTAAAAAATAAATTTAAGTTAAAAAAGTTAAGTAAATGAAGAAAAAAAAATTACCTGACGCTGCCATATAAGTAGCGCCCGTACTTTTGATTTTTTCGATGTCGCTATATGATAAAGAGACAGAGAATGAAAAAAAGCCACACAACTCAAATTAAGTTCTCGTTAAAGTGTAAATACGAGTCGAAAAAAACTGAATTGTCGAGTACCTAAAGCGTTTTTCACTGAGCAATTCGTCAAAATCAGCAATAATTTCGTTCAGTAAGCGTAGACATTCGACTCCCTCGTTGTTTGCCTCGAGTTCAACGTAAAATTCAGAGAAGTTTGGTATCGATGCAAACATAATGCAAGCACTTTCACACTGTTCGTGGTATAAATCCTCGATTTGTCGATCACGACTCAAAAAATGTTCAGCCACATGAACTGGCAATATATTTTCAAGTAGTTTTCGATTGTATGCTTGAAGGTGTTCCATCTCTTCTTTTTCCTCTACCGTAATTGAAATGGTTCGAATAAAAAAACGAAGGCAAAAAATTGTTAGACGAAAAAAAAAAACAGATACATATATACATATACTATAAATAAAAAAAATAACTACTGATTTGCCACATCCGGTATGTGAAAGTGAATGAAATCGTGAATGAATGAGAAAATATGTACGTATATGAAGTGAGTGTGTGATTGTAAGCATTTTTCAATTTTACCTGTTGCTTGTAATTTCCATATAAAATCCAGACGATAAGTGGCTTCGGTTTGGTGACTGTGGAATATCAGCGCAAACACGAAAATCAATATGAAAATCGCATTGGTTGTATAGGCAATGACTTGCTCCTTCCAGTTATGTCTTATTTGTGTGTGTTTTTTTTATCGATAAAAGAAGAAGAGGGGAGAGACAGAAAAAGAGCGAAAATTTACCGTCAAAAACAGCAATAATTTCGACATGCAATAAATTATGTGAAAGAAACGAATAACGCGCACGTCGTTTGTCTGATGCTTTCGATAAAAAAAAACATTCCAGGCACAAAACACATTTATGATGTAAATCTTATGCAATCGAAAGAAATCGAATATATTTTTAAAAAAAAGAATGTTGTTGTGTCATTCACAAAGGCAATCATACCTCGCCTGATTGAATATATCTGAATGGATGCTTTGTACAGTTGCCACAGCGAAGAATATGGCGCACAACGAAATCACAAGGGTTATTTTTAGCAAAATTTTCAATACTTGATGGACCACACAATTCATCATCGACAACAATATAAGCAATAGAAATATCTGTGCGTTAATAAAAGAGAGTGAAAAAACTCGATAAATAAAGAATCTATTTTATTACCTTTATCGTTTATTACTTACATTCACGGCAACATCATAATCGCAATTCATATTGGACACAAAGCCATCTGTCTTCATAATCGATGTAACATTTAAATCACAATTTTTTTGTGTAATAAAAAAGAACTGTTTTGTGTGTGCATGTGTGTGGGTGTTTATCAACGTCATGATTTGACGACCAAATGAAGCGTTGAACAAGGTATGCATGAAATGAATAAAAATACACAAAAAAAGTTAGAATTAGGTTTGTGTGTGAGAAACAGTATGATACAAAATCTATATGCTGAAGCGGAAATTAGAAAAAACGACAACAAAAGCGCCACATGAAGCGACCACACAATTCGAATTTTCATTATATAGTATGAACGTCACGTTTCGATTATGTGATCAATAGACGACCGTGTAGAGTAAAAGGAAAGATAGACAAAAAAAAACCGCATAGAAGGATTTATATATTTTTTCAGAAAACACTTACGATACTTGAAACAGCCGAAAGTTTCACAGCAAAAACCACCAGAATTGCTATCGCTTGAGCATACGTTCGATTGCTTTGTAATCGAGACGAAAACATCTTCAAAGCATTCGCAAACTATGCACGCAGACAAAAAAAAACGAGAAAAAACCAGATTCACATATTGTACATATCAAAATTGAAAAGTGCACAAAATGAACATTGAATGGATTGTTCATTTTGGTTCACGACCATCGCAAAAAGGAGTGACAAATAACGAAAATGAACATGGTACTTACGTTGCGATTGAGTTTTTTGGCCACCAGAATGAAAAATGATGCAAATAAAACTATCACTAACATCGCAATTGAAATGTAATTGAAATCGTTTCTTCTGAAATTGAGCATGCGAAAGAGAAAAACAAACCCGATTGAAGTCATTTATTTGCAAAGCAAATGATCGATGTAGTAAAAAGTAGTGTTTCATTCGTACGTACAATGGATAGACTATGATTTGAATTAGCATTATTCCAACAAAAATACCCAGACTACAGTAAACGTATTTGGGAAGCATACGATCCGGTTCCAAAATGTACTACGAAAAAAACAACAACAACAACATGTGATTGAAAAAAAACATTGTGTTCAAACAAATGGTGAGCGATTTGTTTCGCATTTTATGTCTTACTTTTCGTTCGATGCTTGATTTTTTGAACGATAATGATATCGTTTTACAGTGTTCAGAGCGTAAGCGATCAATGCTACGGGCATCAATGGCACGCATCAAATAATCATTTACTTCATCTTCTGGATCTTTGCTATCGTTTGAATCCGAAAAACCTAATCGTGCTGAATTTTTCTGTGTGCTCATCGTGTGACCCATCATTCGAAGCTCTTTCGATATATTACCATTAATCGATGTAGAATGATGTGCTCGTTTATTCTATTCGATGGTTGATGATAAAGGGGCAAAAAGTTTACAAGTGTAAACAAATCAATTTGTTCGTAATCATGTTGACTTTTTTTCTCTCTATTTTGTTCATTATGCTCTTACCAAACGGTACGTATCGCCGGGCACAATTAAATATGTTTCAATTTGATGGTCCTTCAAATAGGAATTTCGTTCATAGCCTTTACCGTCTTCGACTTCATAATCACCATCCAAGCATTTTAACGTCTCTTTGGTTATATGTACACGGCTAACATTCAATTTTTATTTTGATTAGTTCAGTGAGCTTGCTAAAAGCCGCATTTAAAAAGGAAATAAGAATATATTTTACCCAGGAATGCCGCCACTTTCCATATAATTGGCCAAAGTTACATCATTCGACCAGACCTGAATGATTGAGCGAGAAAATCACATGAAAATTGTGGTTAACATGCACTTTGATGTATGTTGCACACACAAAAATTGATTAAATAAAATGAAACATGAAACCAACATCAAATTGCCATTTGATTAAACCCAACACCCCACAGTGAACGCGGCCACTATGAATTCCTACGCGCATATCAACATTCACTGCCATCACCTCACGCACCAACCTAAAATAAAGAGCAAGAGTTTGTGAAAAAAAAAATTGTTATCGTTTAGTTCTACCGTGAATTGAAATCGTTTTGCTAAAAGTTCAATAATATCCGCAAGCAATTGCCTTGATATTATTATTGTTTGTGTACACTGTACATGAATGGTGTAAATTCAATAAGCTATTGCTAGTCAATCACTTACGCGATAGCATCAATCATATCGAGAGCCATTTCGACGGCGCAATGAGCATGATCGGGCCGAGCCTCTGGCAACCCACTAACGCAGTAATAACAATCCCCCAGCAATTTGATACGTAAACAGTGATGCTCAGCAGCCAATCGATCAAATCTGAAATTAAAAAAAATATGAGCAACACCATTCAACAAGGTATTCATTTCAACTTTGCTGAACACGTTTTTTTTTCGTCTTCTTCGAATTTCCTTTTCAATCAAAATCACTTCAGGGCCAATCAATTCGCAAAAAATCAAAAGGCCGTGAATGATGTAATTAAGTTGAATAAATTGTTGCTACAAATAAGTACCTGGCAAAAAGCTCGTTCAATAATCGCACAAGTTCTTCGGCAGTACATTGATCCGATAATGTTGTGAATCCACAGATATCCGCAAATAATATACTGAAATCAGAAATTTCGGTATTATATCACCGAATGAGAAAAAGTACATCAAGTAGTCATTAATTTAATTAAGTCTTTTGTGGCCACTTCATTAATTGTTCATGTTTATTAAATTAAAATAAGCAAGAAAAAAATTGAGATTCATCATTTGAAACTTGTAGCATACCTCACATTATCGTGCTGCTGAATGTAAATCTTATGGAATTGTGCTTCTTGTGGTTTTCCAGCTATATCATCTTTCATCTCCATCGCAACATGTCTCGGTAAAACGGATAATAGCAGGCGTTCCTGTAACAAATGTACAACATTTTATAATCAGTTTGATATGCAAAAGACTACCACTGCATTATTTAACGTATAGACTGTACGGGCGTATTTAGATTTGAGTATGGCAAAGACATGAAAAGCTTTATTTGTCATATTCATACTTTTTTCCCGAAACAAAGACTTTTCATCATTGAATAACGGCGGAAGGTACTACACATAAAGAAAGAAAGAACTGCGCCAACTTGCAATTCGGTGTGGTTTTTATGGCAGATTTTGGCATGTGAAATGCTAAAATAATTAGCGCTTGTGTTTTTTCTGTAACCAAGTTGCAGACAATTGTCATAATGGGATTTTTGCGGCATTTAATACAAAGGGATGTTGAATAATGAAAATGCGAAAAGCAGACCAAACAAACAAAAGAAAGAGTGACTTCTGGGAACCAAAAGTACATATTACAATTCAAGTGAATTAAAATTCTCTGTGTTGAATTGCATTTCAATTGGCTTCCACGCCTTTTACATGTTGAATGTTTGCTTTGCTACTTTTGTAATTTCAACGAATTTTTTTATTTCTTTTCTCCTGTTCTGAGTTTATTTTATCCATTATATTTATAAAAATGTTCACAGTTGGCTTACACTGAGATTGAAGTATAACTTACACATTCTACACATTGGTTCTTACCTGTTGTTGATTTTCTCGTTGTGTACGGAGTCGAGCTTCAATACACTGACGCGTTTCGATGAATGCTTTCCGCTGAGCTTTTTCACGTGGCCAATGTGTGAATACGCCCGCCAAATTTGTGCATAGTAATGCAATCACCGTACTACCAATCTGCATTCCGTTCACATACGTCCGAGCATCAGTTAAAATTTTGAATTAAGCACAAAATATACGCAAAGAAGATCAAATTACAATTAGTCGGTATATGATAAATGTACTTAAACCGTGTGGCTATGCATGTAGTCAACCAATTTTTGGATTAATTTAAATGCGCACCGAGCACTTACATCGCACTAATTTAACACCATAAAATTCTGTGTTGGCATCATTACACAGCGATACGATATAATACGGAGAAAATGTTAAACTCAAATTACCTCAGACCAATCAACATGAATCGAACACGTTGAACTAAGATACACATGAACAATAGATAAAAGCAAACCGCCAAACAATGCTTCACGTAATCTCACCGGCAACATGGTATAGGTCATGTATACAAAAATCAATACACATCCATTGGCCGTTGTAGTAGACCTATTACAGAAAATGAATTTTACTTCTCATGTCTTTTGATCCAGTACATTTTATTTGCGTTGAAAATCATTCAAGCATCAACACAGAAAACAAAGTGCCCACCGAAACCACATCTAATCTTTCGAATTCACCGAACGAAATGAACAAAACTGACTGGATGCTTTTGAAAAATATAGTCAAAGCAACTTTTTCGTCATTTTGTATTTCAAAGGGTTTCAAAGTTTGTAAACATTGTAATTTAAATAATCCGTTTGAGCTGAATAAATGAAAACGATATTCATGAACAGTGAACACTTGGATAATCCGTTTTTTCAGTTCAGCTCATTGTCTTCCAGTGCTGTATCGGCTCAATGTGCTTTGTTGGGTACCATTTTCTCGCTTAAAATATACACATTTTGGACATACCTGTTACTAGCCGCGAAAAATATACAAATTTCTATGGCCACAAATGTTAATATAATCACATACGAAACTAACACTAGAAATATCTCATTCATTGCTGGTTTCGATAGAACCGCTAACAAAACTGAAACGATTCCAATAATGAGAAAGAGAGAGAGAGAGAGATGGGTATAGGGTGAGTTGAGTGATTGTGATTAAAATTTAAAATAAAAACGATAAGTATAAAATATGCAAAATTCATAAAAAATGTATTCGAGACGATTCATGTTCATATTTATGGCATGTTATAAATATGCCATGGACTGTGAAATTTCATTTTAATTAGTTTCGTTTGAGATATTATACAGTCATAGCTTCTGAGCAGGGGTCCAACGGTTTGGATTACCCTCCCAAGGAGGACAAATTTTGAAATTAACCCTTTAAAAAATGTGGAAAACAATCTTTCCCTTTGGTTTTTGACGAAAAAAGTGGGAACCTTTTTTAGATCATCAATTTATTTTTTGAGAGACTAAATTACCCCTTTACATTTTGATTTTTTTTTTTAAATTAACACCCTCCCTATCTTGGATCGCCACCGACTGAAGCCATACAGTTTACAAATATTGAACAAAGTGTGGACCCGAAATATAAAATATATGAATGGAAATATGCTTATTCAACCGGGTTTCATTTCATCGCATCAATTTATGCAGAGACGTACATTCATCGAGCTGGTGAATAATGTACAGTTTAAATGAGAACAAAAAAAATTGAAAGTCATGAAGAGGACGAAACAAACTCACTTTATTTTGCTGTATATTTTTGGGAATTGTTTCTGAACAGGTTATTACTTTTTTTCCATTCGGGTCAAATTCAATTCGGGAAATAAAAAAATGAGAACAATACAGAAAAAAGATTCGAAAGTGATAGAAAATAATGGAACCGAAATTGCATTTCGATTCGAATATGCATCGACAATCGATGGTTACGGTGAGCATTTCAACTCATTATATTCTGTCCGCTGTGCTTTTGAAAGTGGTTTTAGTATCAAATTGCAACAGTTGAACAATGTAAGTACTTAAAAAAAATCACACATTTTTTAGCCCATGCTGTGATTATCAAGTTCCCGCAATTTCAATCATTTTCTCTTATTCAATACATTTCAAAGCGCACTTCATTCGTAAACACACATACACACACATTGTTGTGGTTGTTGATATTGAAAAGTATTTTACTTTTGCGTGCATTTAACGTCAATGCAATAATACTTACTGCTATAAATGATTGTGCATATGCCAAACATCGATAGTAAAACTATTGTTTCAGTCTTCAATGACATCGACTTGAACATCAACATTCCGAACGGTTTTTCAGAATGGATTCCATTTGGCTGCATTGTCGTTCCATTCAATCTCATTGTACGAATATGTGAGATGTCATTTGTGCTGGTATTGTTTGCTCTAAACGGGATATTATCGTCAATGTCAATCACTTCTTTGGCTCTATCGTCTATCCATGTTACTGGTGTTGTTGTTGATGCTGCTGCTGATGCTTGTTTCTCGATATCGCGTTTCGTCAGCCTTTGTTTTGTTCCGTCGAAAAGCGCAAAAAAAACATAGAAACGACAACAAACAAAACAAATACAAGCATATAGTAGAAAATATGAGCAAAAAGAATTGAATAGAAAAAGGATAAAAAGCAACACAATTGTGAAATGGTATCAGCTAAAGCTTCTGTTTATTATGGTGAATAAATAATGTTTGATGCTCAATTTTTCTTCATTCTTTTGTTTTTGCCTCTTTCTCCGCCTTCTCTGTTCCATTGTTTCGATTTTTTCCGTGCAAAAATCCTACACAAATAATTACACCGCAGAAAAGCTTATTTTTAAATGTACAATGTACATGCATATGAGATTACAATTATTCATTGTATTGTATTCAATAGCAATACACATTACACATAAGTTATGGAAATTGAGGATACATTCAAACGTATTAAGAATAAATACGTACGTACAAAAGAAATGATCAATATGTCTTTGATTCGATGAGAATAAAATTGGGAACATACGATTTTACATTCATGTCGTTAGTAAGTTTTCGATAACAGATGGTTGGGGAGTGTCTTCGGCAAAGTTTAAGATCTTATTAAAACTTTATGTTCAGGAAATGACTTGTGACATAAGTTCGAAAGCACTGGCCAATCCCACTTTTACTCTCAACCAATCATATAAATCAATACATCTTTGATGAAAGCTGAATATGTTTTGTGTACAATGTCAATAGGCCAAATTCGTCAAATCAATGCAACAATTTAAAGCCGTAAGGAATGGATACTTTTGTCAACTAAATTGGGAAAATGTAATAAAAAGTTGTTTGGCTCTCTCATCTTTGACCTTTGGCTTGTTACTTAAATGTAAACGTTACAAAACTAACACAGTACAGCATTTCCATAGTCGAAAACAAACGCCTTGGTGCTTTCCCAACTTTGTGTTGCGATCCGAAAAATACTCCAACCAGAAATATTCACCGACTGTAAAAGACTTTCATCAAAGTCTTGTTAAAAATTTAACTAAAACTTTTTCCACTTGCTGTGTTTCACTTAACTTGTACAAATGTTTCTCTCTCTCCTTATTTTTGTTTCGTGAAAATGCTTAATGCACAGAGTGCTGGTATTCATGTGAAACAACAGGTAACAATGCTCAAATAATGCACGAGCTTTATTTCTACAAATGTGAAATGATTTATTGGCATTTCAATTCCTTTTTTGTCACTTTAGTATGAAAAGCAATAAAACGGCAACGTGGCCCATTTTCAACATTTGTTCGCTGTATTCTTCTGAAATGAATCTTTCGTAGCAACGATACAGTCATACTGCCGTGGAATGAAACAATGGTGAACATCTTGTTTTTTTTCTTCATCTCATGTATAAATCAATGGGGAAAAATCAAAAGACAAATAAAAATGTTTTGTATGAATTTTTTTGCTGTGAAGTGTACAATGTGAACATACCGAATAAATGGTTTCTGTCGATGTCGACTGTTTACATTTGGTGAAGAACGCTTTCGCTTTTTAAACATTTTCGCGTCAACGTGACGATAATGATCGTTGAACCGATGCGTTTTTGATGCTGTTGTCAACACAAAACGATGCTCATTTTCCAAATGTTTTTCATCCAATTCATATGTTCTGCGAACACGATGCACACTCTTCTTGTTGTTGTCACTCACTTGGAAATTCAAAAGACAATATTTACATTGACATTATTATTTATAGATATATGTATATAGCATATATTTTCGCCATATTGTTAGCATGCAAACTATTCCCATGCTGTGATTGCCACATGATAGTGCTCGATGGCTCATGGTGTGCTTTTTGTCCACCGTAAACGTTGAGAAGCCAATTACCTGTTTCATTGTCCGTCGAATAATTATAATTGGATCTCACGAAATTTTGCTGAGTGTTTGCATTTGGTGTATAGTTTGCAAAATTCTCGCTTCGGTTGAGCGTCGTCGATGAAATATTACTGCCATTGCTGTTTATCGTGTCATTGTATCGATGTCGTTGTAATGTTTTATGAAATTGACTTGCTGTTTCCATCGGTATGAGGATAATGTGTACAGCGGCCAATGATAAAACTAGTGCCAATAGCAAACTTAAAATATGTGTCGTATTACTTTGGTTCATTCGCAGAAAATAACGTTGATATAACATTTCCACCTACACAATTTGACAAAAATACAAATGAAAATGCACACGTGAATACATTGCTTTATATAGAGCATCTTCAATTTTCTTTTGTTGATGCAGTTGAACTTTACCTGTAAATTTTTAAATTGATGTGTACTGCATAAGCGAATAATATAACGATTCAGTCGAATCCAAAACGAAGTTTTTGAACCATTGGCAGCCATTTCACACAGTTCGGTACTCTCATCGCCAGAAACTGAGCAAAAATAAAGAGAATAGTTATAATGATTTACAATTGCAGATGGAAAAAACTCACTCACTCACACACACACACACACACACACACACACACACACACACACACACAC